AGGAAAATCAATAATGTTCTTTCTAATGGATATTTCATGACATTTCCTCCTCTTCCAAACTTTCTTTTGCTTCATAAGTCACATGTATCCAAACTCAAATACGCCGTTCGGTTAACAATTTGGCCAAACCAAATACGTGGTCCATATTTAGTGCTACAAATTATCGAGTCCTGAATCTGAATCAAATGTCCTTATTTAAACGAATTTGATCAATGATAAACCAAAAATGTCATGCCACGGGTAATAAAATGCATATATAGAAGCTCTGTTGAGTTCCTTTCAATGGAGCCTTGATAAACCTCACGATTAGTGCTACTCATAACAAATACACAAATACACATGCTTAATTAATTCCCACTTCCACCCGTCGAGTCGAATAAAATTGATCTGTAATGGCTTATAATGAGGAAGTCAACTTAATATTTCACTCTAACTTTTACAATAGCAACAGCAACGTCTTAAAAATGTAAATACAATAAAGCGTGTAAAGCAATCATGTATGAAGTTTGAACAGCCAAATCACTGTCAACCAACACACATTCATGCTGCCAATCATGAGTGTAATCGTTTGAAAGCCGATGGAGCATATGGGAAAGTTCATCACTTAATTAAATCTGCAATAAGTACATATAAGTTTATTATTAGACTTGGAAAACTGAATGAATAATGACAAGAAAATCTACAGTGCATACATGACTTATCCTTAGCCCGAGTCAGCGACAGATTCTGCTTGTAAGTTTACGTCACGTGACAAAACTGCTACTACCACCCTCGTGTAGGCGATGGTTAAATGTTGATCGAATATTTCTATTATTTAGCACCAAATTTTTTTTGGAGTATTCACTAATCCTTTCCCTTAGCTACCAGGACCAGTGGGGGTCATATATATACAAACATTTTGAAATTACAACCTTGTAGCTGTTACTCATAGCTCATTTTCAGCCTCCATCCCAAATTTCTGCTGAATATAGGAATTTTAGAAATTGGTACGAATCACCCTCTAAAGTCCCTTTAGTTGCATTTTAATTGACATTTACATAACTTCATGAGAAGCCATTAGGAATCTCTGCCAAATTTTCGCTTTCTAAGGCAAATTCTAGAAATCGATGGGGTCACACCATTGGGTCTGTCAGGTTAATTTTTTTGAATTTTTACTAATAATCCGATTGTATACCTCCAGTGGGACCATTTTGTCGAATTTCAGCCTTCTACGACTATTTCGAATATTCTGTACCATTGACCCTACCTGACCCTTATGACCCCCGCCGGTCAACCACTTTACCAATTTTACTCATCTTCGAATTTATATAACTCCTCTTCGGATCGATCGGATAAGTCTAAAGAGAGTTATTGCGAAGACGGACGGACGGACATAACGGTTACATAAGCCCTGACTCGGGCGAAAAATGGATCGGCATTTTTTGTGGATATATGGTATTTATATATGCATGCCATGCAGAGATCGGTTATTTATTTACCAGTAAATCATTCATAATGACGCTGAATCAAGCTAATTTCTCGTCTGAGATTTTATAGAACTTTGTAACCAACAATGTAAAGCAGTGCAAAACAATTTCAATTCTACATAAGTCAATTGTTAATTCGTCGTCGTCGTCGTCGGGAGATGATCCAACGTTCACCCGACAAAATTTATTTCGTCCTTTTAATTGCACCCTCATCACCTAAGATCTACATGCAATTTTGTCGGATCTGTTTTATTTTGTACTGCTAGTAATTTTAGTGGAGTACATAAATTTTGATTGTTGAGATGCTATATGAAATGTACTAATGTATCCCCTTACTCTCGCGAAAAAGTAATGCCTAATTATAATTTTTTTAACGCTACTATTGACGTTATATCACTTAAGAAAAAATAATATATATAAATTGTGCAACATTTATCATTGAGTAAACTTGGTCATATTTGAGTCATGTAATTTATGACGTCATATGCGTATCTCATGATTACTCTACTAGGGAAGGGCTTAAGGGTCTTGTGCGTAGTAATAATAATTTGTGTGGGAAGGTGTACGCTGAATGGGGCATGATTATGATGGGAGGACCCTGGAGAGATGGGTGCACAAAAGGGTCTGCGTCTGGAGGAGCCGTCGATGGAGTTGTTGCGACTTAATGAAGCGTTAAACTAAAGTTGAAACATTTTCATCATTTGTCACCAGAACGTTGAATAGAGATTTGAATAGGGTCGCTTTTATTCCTTTTTGAATTTGAATCTATACTTTCTTTGAGTGCGTGGAGATTTTCGCGATGTCATGCTGCCTAACGACTAATGAAAATGTAATTGACTTCTCTTTGTTACACACACTTACTTGCATACAACTCATTTTGGACTGAGAAGCAAGTAAAGCCCATATAATCATATAATCATCATTAATAAACTCTCACTCCTGCAGATAAAAGATCATTATTCTCCTTTTGGCTCCCTTGTATTTTAGGAATGACGTGTGAAATGCACCGGTTATAAAATGGTTAACATTTTAAAAATGATTAATGAGCTCACATCCCATTATTCGCTCACACTTTAACTCTCGGTCCACCTTCAATTAATAAGCAATTTCCATATCAAAAAATACTTCCAGCCTCACAGACCCGTCGGTCTTCCTTCATATGCACCCTCATGCATATGTCTCACGTCATGTCTTCCTATGCAGTACATACACGGGGAAGCAGCGAAATGAGATTTGTGCATGTATACGAGTTGAATAGAACGCGTAATCAGAAAATGACATATTATAACAATAATACGAATCAATGTCCCTGTTCCCAGCAGTACACATCATATAACAGCTTCTGTGTTATTCTCACCGATCAAAAGTTTGGAATATGTATAATGGAGGAGCCAGAAGAGGAGTAAATAACACATAGAAAATAAAAAAAGGTCCACAAAGACGGAGTCTGTTATTAACATGTTATTATTTTGTGTCTGTCTGATGGGCGCTACTGCAGCGACCAAGATGTTGCATTGTATTATTTTTGTCTCTGTCATCCCTGCGTCCTCTTAATTAAACCCTTTCAGCCTCCGCTTGTTGTTTTTGTCATTAGTTTTGGTAGTCGTCGTCGGACTTGACGCAGTTCATCCGTATCTTGAACCTAAACAGTTATACGACTTTATTATAACACTCAACTGCATCTCATGCTGAACACTGCCATTATTGCCATTATTATTGCATGAATATCGTCATTGTGTCATGTCTTTTTGGAAGAGAAGGATTAACAGTGAGGCGATGAATATAATGCACTTCTACTTGTGGTGTACTGTAAATTATAATTCTATTCTTGGTGCTTTATAATGATTAATGCTTATAATCCCATCATTTTACTGCAGTTTATGCGATAAACTATACACGAGATCGCTTTGATCAGCACTATATTAGTGGGCAGGTTATCAATCATTTGGGCTTTGTCGTATCGGGCCAGCCAACCTGACACCAAAATTTGTACATTTTCATTTTCAACAGCTTTTATTAATTCATTGATAGATTAGCATCTTCCAAGTAATCCATGTAATTACGCCCCGTTGTGTCTGATTTCCGCTAAATTGTATCTTTTGAGAAAATATTATCACTGGGTTGCCTTCCATTGTTTTGAGGAGTATACAAATTGAATTACTTTCGGGGATGAATAACAGGAGTTTTCATTGTGTCCCAGCATTAATTGTCAATTGTTTGTCATTGCAATCTATCTATGACCGCAAACGTCTTGTATACTTAATGTACGTAGGAGCCCATGCAATTCACAAGACAATATAAAGATTATGAAGACTACTGAAAATGGTTGGAAACGAAATTAGATGTGGCTACTGAAATTTATTAATTCCGCACAGTTCATTTTATACAAATACACCAAACGAATGTTGAATTTATTTAATCACTTTACAAAGAATGCCCTTTTGAACTATGCCCATGTGAATAGACGAATCATTCCTAATTAGCCGAGAAAACTGAGGTTGAGTGTGGAAATCCCTACAAATCTCGTGGTGGTGGTGATGCGGTGGTGGCGAAAGAGTTGGCAAAGAAAAGCAGAAACACCAACACAAAGTATGTTGCACGCGTAGGTGGAGAAAGTTGAGAAAGGGGCGATAAGAAATTCGAAATTTGAGCCTGTTTGCTGTGGTTCCATAATGCAACAATTTGGTGGGTGTGGTTCTGCGGTTGGTTGTGGGTAAGAGAATGCAATAAAGAAGCCGTTAAAATTGAGCATCATCATGATGGTGAAATGCCGGGTGGTGGTAATAGGAAGAGGAGACGTGAAACGAGGACTCGTTGGTTGGTTGACACAATGTGACTCGTAGAATTTTAAAAGGGTTTCCCATTCCGAGTTTCCTTTGATCTTCTCTCACAAAGTAAGTGGCGTCATTAAGAAGTGGAATCTATCCACTTTCCCCGGAATGACTAGCATTCTGCTGCCGACGACGATATAGTTTTACTTTATGAGAGGACAGGGAGGAAAGTGTTGCAGGCTGGGTCGGAGGAAGGGCGACGGAGGGCGACTATCTGGGTAGATCTCAGATTTGGAGAAAACTTTGTATAAATAAATTGAGTGCAGCCAACAGCGGAGGAATCCCGGGAGAGAGAGAGAGAAGAGAGATGCCAAAACTCTATATAAAGCGACCATTTTCCTACATGTCTCTCTCGATGTGACAAATTGGGCAATCTCTTGGTTAATTCGGGTGGAAATGCGGACTCTTCTCAGCCCAAAAAGATTTGACACTCTCTCCAGGATGAAAGGATCCATCCCCACTTTGCTTTCCGTAAACCCGCCTTTCTCCGCCTCCAAACTCCCTGCTCCACATTGTTCCTCTTGGCCTGCGTAATAGGGAGGAATTATCCACTAACAGATCCTTCCACTTTTCACTCCTGCCACCAACTTCCTCCCTTTCTTTCATTTCCATCGATCTCATAATATTCAATGGGTTGTGGAAAAACAAGTCTTCTTTGGATTAGTTTGTACGATGCACAATAAAAAATTGTTTAGCTAATTTATAAAGTCTTGAAACGCGTTTTACTTTATTGTTATATTTCCTGAATTACGAACGATTACATGAAATTAAATCCGATTACTGGGAAGAACACAAAATGTGTTATTGGCTTTCTCTTTCTCTTCTTTTGTTCTTCCTCAGCATACAAACGCATTGAATATAACGCCCCTTATTTCAATAATATATTCTTATCGTTAAAACTTTAATTATTGCGACTCTTGTCTCAATGACATCCAATTACTATTAACTTCTTGCTCGCTGCATGCATTTACTCCAGAAATGTTTTGGCCATTTGTAAAGTTTCCACGTCCACTGTTTGCATAACTTCGTTAAAAACAGAGTCACCCAAACGCCCTCGTAGATTATTAACTTCATTTCTAAACAGGTTGATCAAATCAACTGTGTACACGACGTCACGGGAAGCCAACCTCTTCTTACGAAGATCATTTTCAGTGACTACTTCATCGGTGTCTCGTTGACCCTCAAAATCCAGTACGCAGAGAGAGCTGGAAAAGTTAAATTCAACATGAAATCTACTGTCAAGTAGAAATTAAGCCCAAGCCTTCTACAGTACTTACTCGATCATTTTTCCACTTTGCAAATCAGCCTTCAGTATGTCATTTAAAGTTTCGGATACACCCAAAAATATTCCGCATATACGATGCATTATTACCTGGAATTACAAATAATAAGGTTCAACAATGAATACAAGTATGCTTGTATCTGTAACACAATTAGTGATCTGTTAAACATATACCGGTTGGCAAGTAGACATTAACTTGAGTAGAGAAATGCAGATTAGTTTTTTCCTCTCTGGTTGCACAATGTATGGCACTTTACTGGACATTGTGTCCAAAATAGTAGCCAGCACTTCTGCTGACGGTTTCCCTTCGCTGGTTGCAACAAGATCTAGTCCAACTTGAAACATTCCTTCAGAAATTAACAAAAGACGTGCCACAACAGATAGAAAGAGCGCCAGCAAGAATGGCACATCCAGTGCTTCGTATGAAGCCCTGATAAATCAAGTTTAAACAATTAAGTAAAAATGCTAAAATAACATATTATTTAATACATATCGTTATTGTAAGGCACACTTACTGAAAAATTTTACCAATTATAGGCCTAATCGCAGTGGGACCATTAATTGGTGAAGTGCGCAAGAAGGTTTCCATACACCGGAGTACTGTTGCAACACCTTCAGCTCGCATATCCGAGATTGAAGAACTGAGTTCCGTGCAAATAATGGATCCATATTTCTCAGTAAAATATTCAGGATAAATTATCGCGTAGGAATTCACCAGTGAGACAGACATTTTTAAGTGCTCAGAGGATATTGAAAGAAGGGGTATTAAATTGTCCACCAGTGAAAGAAAACTTTCGCTAGAAAAAATTTATATAAATTATGTAAAAACCTATGTAAAAACCTTCCAAAAATATTCAACCTTGTTTTTAAGATTTTTATACTTATTCTTACTCTGGTGGTTCTGGTGCATATTCCATTAATGCCAACCAAAGGTCGAGTCCATCCTCTGTAAGAGATAAAAAGTTTTTTTCTAATGTCTATTACTGCATAACTTTTAAATTGCATAACTAACCCAAAAGGTAAACATGTTCCTGAGATTTCAAGTCAGTTGCAATACGAATCACAGGGAAAAGGAATTCTCTTAATACGCTTGACTCGCTTCCTAATGCCTTTAGACAAAAAATATTAATCAGCATACGTTAAAAGAATGTAAAATCCGAGATCTTCTCACATGAACCAATTGAATAGATGTTGATACCACGGCAGCTTTAAGCATGTTGTGTTCCATATCCCAGAGAAGAGGCAAATATTGCGCAAGTGAGCCTATCTGATTGGAGTTTTTAATTTGAATTCCCATTCTTTCAATGAGAAAGCTCATTGTATGAAGAACTCGCATCTACAAATTATTACAAAATCATTAACTAATTTTTTACAAGAAACTTTGATCAAAAGGACCCTTAAAAGTTTAAATACCTTGTTATCACTTTCTTTTACATCTTTTAGAAGCATGAATAAATTGTGAAATGTATCCGTCATACAAGGAGCAAATTGTTCAGGTACGAAATCAAAATCGTCCAAACAGCTTCTCAATGCTTGAGAAGAACTCAGACGAACCTAAACATCACGTTAAATTAATGAAGTTATTAAGAGAAATTACGTTAATACACACAACTTACCACTACATCCGGACTTTGAAGACCGCTCAGGAGCAATGCATAAATTGTTGGTCTCGCTTCAGCAGTTATTTTTACCCCAGTCCATTGTCCCACCAGCCATGTAATTCTTCGATGCAGTATAGGCACGGGAAGGGTCAATTCGTGAACTAAGGTACTTGCCAGCCATGTGTCGAAGGAGAACTGTAACAAAATAAAAGATATAATGTGACAATATTAAAACTGAGAAAATATCTTGTCATCAAGCATTGTTGATTAGTTAGTTACTTATCAAGAGTTAACATACCTCGTCGTAGAGTTCGTAAGCGGTAATTCCGACTGCATTGTACAATGCATCTTTGGCCAGAATTGTCGAACGATCTTGGGGATCCTTCAATGGCGTCTCGTATTCCTTCATCAATGCCAAGAGCACCGCAGTAGACTTGCGGAATTCTTTAAATAAGGTTACCAGTAATGTTTCAGCACTTTGCTACAAAAGACAAAAGTTGGCAATGCTTAGATTATTACACTAGACAGACATTGTAGTTTTTGGCCATCGATAGCTATAGTATACCTACTCTAAGATTGTATTTCCACGTCTCCCCAGATTCGTCCATTCTTAGAGCTATTTGATATTTTTAATTCAATATTAGACACATAAAATAAATAAGTGTTTTTATGCAACCAATAATATGAAAATCACTTACCAAATTCTTCTGGGTCCTCTGCCCAGCTTTCGATTTCAGTTTGTGACAGTGGAAGATAGCGAGTCACTAGCACGCGCACCAATACAGACAAACTTTCGTTCGTAAAAAATTGGTCCTTGATATCTGCTGCTTCAAAAGTACGAGGATCTGTGTCAGGGGTGGCAATGCTGAAGCTACCTCGCCTTCCACCTTGAAGAAAAATAACATAGTATTTATGCACATGATGCTACCCTTTTAGTTTCAACATTTATTTGTACATACCTTCAATAGCCCTCGGTGCACGGAATTCGGCACACAGAATTATCCCTTTCATAAGATTCAAGGCATGAATAGCAACTCTTTCAAAGACTACTGATCTCCCTTCTTCTGAAAATCCAAAATAGGCTGCAAACTCCAGTCCGGCGTGCAGAAATGGCACAAAGGACAAGGGGTGAACTTCTAACACTGCGGTGCATATGAAAGGAAATAGAAATTAATTTTTGTCTCCGTCGGTGTTTAAAAAATGATGTACGTAGCTAATCAATTTGTTATAAGATTCTTAATCAAATGTACCATCTGCCACAACTTTACACATGCACACTACGTGTTTCTCCAACAAGTTTGAAGAATCCTGCCTAGTCAGTCCTATTAAAAAAATGAAATTGCAGTCAACCAACGATAAGCAAATATGGACATTTAAACTCACTTAATTCCAATGTCTCCTTAGCTCGTTGCATCACACTTAAGATAAAGGTTTTCACGCTTTGGCTTTCATGAGGCACTTTATACCCTCTAACACATAATATTCGAAGAATTTTCAAGGCCATGTGAGCTCTGGGTAAATCATCACCGGAGGCACCAGAGACGGCCCATGCTAGAAACAGTCTTTCCCAGAGTCCATACAAGTAATCGAAAATTTCAACAGCAATTTCTTGAAAAATTTTCCTATCCCCCGTAAGTCGTTTTGTCGATAAAATCTTGATTACATGGTATGAAACCAACAGTGCTCTAGTAAAAAAAATCATTTTCCCTTCAATGTAATTAAATAAATAGTTGCAATATTGCAACTTATATTTATAAGTAGTAACTGTGAAATATAATATAAATTAATGATTGTTTAGTTCTTTCACTAACCGATGCTGTTGGTAAGGATCCTCTAATTGTACACTCGCCATCAAACTTGGAAGCAACATTGGCCATTCGCGAACTTCTAACCGGGCAATTTTTGCAGTCACAAGAGCCAACTGTGTGGCAACATTGAGTGCTGGTTCATTTAAGATTAGTTGAATCATACTAGATTTAATGGTAACTCTTTCTGCTTCAGGTATTCCGACGAGTGTGGAGGTACTGTGTGGTCTATTATAACATAATATACAAATTTGTAAGTACATATAACGCATATTGTAAGGAATAAACCACTGTATACAAACAAATCGTACGGATTCATAACTTTCTTCCAGTGCCGTTCGATGCCGTTCTTCAAATGAATTGCAGCAATGAAGCGAGCATTTGTTTCAAACTCGTGTTTTGAAATGACGTTCTGTGTAAATGAATAAAAACAGTATGGAATGAAAATATATATAATTAATGATACAATACACGAACTAATCAGCGTGTGAATTAAAATTGATTTAGTTACTGTGAGAGCTGCATAAAAACCGGGTTGGGTCTCCCATGATAAGAGTGTGGCCTCTGATGATTTCAAAGACTCGGGGTTTTGAGAAGCCGCACCTTGAAGGGTTTCGTACAACATTCGAATTCCATTAATATCATCCATGGTTTATCTGTGGAATAGTGGATTTTTAGTTTTTTGAATAATGATGCTAAAATTCACTCCAAATGCCATGCAAATGATGGGTCGCAATGTACCTTTTTTGTTGAATAAAAGAACAAATAAAAAATAAGAATCAGATTATGTATTTTTTGGTCTTGATTCTAGGATCATCAGTTCACTTTCACCACCAAAAGTTTCTGCAAAATCAAAAAGTTTTATGATATGACATACTACTTTTGGCATCTATATTATCTATATTTCGTATTCAAGCAAAGCGGTTTGGCACGTACGTACCTTTGGGTACCTAACAATATTAGGCTATCAAAATAAAACGGCAAAATTTGGTCATTTCCAGTTTCACACACGATAAGAAAATAAAACAAATTGCGTGCAAATTTTTTTGCACACAATTTTCACCGGGTAAAGGACACAGAGTACACTCAAGAATTCATAACATTAACATTATATCTCGCAGAGGTTCATAATTTTATTTTAGCATCAAAACAAACTTTCACCAAAAAATAACTTTCAAGTTCCAGACTACTAAATATGTTGCAAGTCTGGAACTCGGTTATATCCGTCCGCCTGTCCGTCGTCGGATCACGAAGACTGTGTTAGGAAGACACTAAATTACAATTTATTGGGGACGTAGGCCTGGCGGTCCCTGCGAATACTTGATAAGCACATGTCGTCGCCAGTGTGCTGGTTAGTAGTACGTTAGGCTGGAGAGAAGTGTTGCATATTAATCTGCGAGGAGGAGACAGAACTTGAGTTGCCGGAATGGTGAGTGCTGATTTGAATGCGAGAATCGGGGCAGTTCGACTCTCTGTTCGCTCGCCCTTTGCGCAGGAGGTTCGAGGTGTTGGCCCAAATCACAAACAGTCCTGGTGTCACCGCCTCCCATGTAAATAAACAAAACCAAGAAGTCGTTTCTCGTGTGACAGAAAAAGTGCTTATCAATTATTCACTGCTCACTTGTTCAGCTATACACGCGCTGACCGCAGTGAATGCATAGTTTGAGTAACAAAGCGAAAAGCAACGTGCGGTGTTATCTTGATGTGAAAATTCAAGGAAGGAATCTCGGAGTTTAAAATTCAGCTGTCATCATACAAAATATATAATAACTGAGGCAGACACTTGAAATCCTAGGAAAATGGCTGCCAGTTTATCAACGGATATCATCTTACCAAACCCACCCCCTGATTTATTGCTTCCGAAACATGCAGTAAGTAGAAATACATATTACTTGTATAATTATAAATAAATCGATGCTGTGCTGTGATTCTACTGTGACTCATCAACTTTTTCTATTTTTCAGGAATTTCTATCGCGTTATGGAACTTCTAAGGAAGATTATGTATGTACAGCATTATGAATATAGTAAACTTTAAAATGAAATTTATTCTGGTGGATGACTGATATTTATTTCTTGTTTTACTTTAAAAAATGTAGGAATACTGCATGACCGAATTTCTGAGAATGTCAGGAATGTAAGAATTGTTATCTTAATAAAAGGAATGTTTCTTGTTGTATTCCAATGGAATAATTCCATCGTTATATGATCACCAATTATATATTCTTTCCTCATAGGTACTGGGGTCTGACGGCGTTAAGTCTGATGGACAAATTGGATTCCGTTCCACCCAGTGATGTCATTGCTTTCATTCAGGACTGTTTTGATGAGACCACAGGGGGATTTTCCCCGGCAAAAGACCATGATCCACATGTCTTGTATACGCTGAGTGCGGTTCAAATAATTGCAATGTGAGTTAATTTATTTGCACTTTGTCTTGACATTGGGATTATTTTTTGGTCCAATATTTTTGAACGATAAAGTGTATTACCCAGGTATGACGAATTCAAGGCTGTCGATTGTTCCAAAATTGTTTCCTTCATTCAGTCTTTACAACAAGCGGATGGCTCATTCTTTGGGGACCAGTATGGCGAGGTTGATATTAGATTTTCATTCTGTGCGGTAGCTACGCTTTCCCTTTTGGTATGACATTACTATAAAGAAAATTCATTGACTCGTTGTACGTATATGCCCCCAATTAATTGGTTTTGTTGTATGAATTTTCAGAAAAAACTCGATGCAATTAATGCTAGAAAAGCTGCTGATTTCATTTTGTCTTGCCAAAATTTTGATGGAGGTTTTGGGTCCAAACCTGGTTCTGAGTCTCATGCAGGACTAATTTATTGTGCTGTGGGTACACTATCGATACTCAGTAAGTAAATATTCCTTAAAGATGGCACAATTACAGCAATAAATATTTAATAACTATTGCCGTCCTTGCATTTATTAACAGAGGAAGTTGATCGGATAAACAGTGACTTGTTGGGCTGGTGGTTATGTGAACGACAACTAAAATCAGGGGGTTTTAATGGAAGGCCAGAAAAGCTTCCTGATGTTTGCTATTCTTGGTAATTAACATGATGTTTAATAATTAATTATAATGGAACCAACCAAACTATGTACATACATACGAGTATAAACATTAACGTAACGTTAGCACTGATTTTTTTGTCAAGGTGGGTACTGGCCTCCTTGACAATTTTAGGGCGACAAGATTGGATTGATCAAAAGGCCCTCATCAAATTCATACTCTCCTGTCAAGACACGTCAACTGGAGGATTTGCAGATCGACCTGGAGATGTGGTTGATCCTTTCCATACCCTGTTTGGATTAGGAGCACTATCTTTACTCGGTTATCAAGATGAAAAGTTGTTAAAACTCAAGAAAATCAACCCGGTCTTTTGCATGAGTCAAGATATCATTGATAAACTCGAAATTGAGGTTCAAATTTTACCCGGTGGAGGTGCATCCTGACCTATGCTTCTTAATGCATGCGAGACCAGTTGTACATTAGGACTCTTGTAATTTCGCTGTATGATCATGATGAAAAAAATCACCTTCAGTTTGCCTTATTTTTAGCCAACGAACCAGCATACATATATATTTTATATATGTTGTAATCTTGACTTCTTTTATGTGCCGCACTATTATTATTATTAAATGTTAAACCATGTCCACTAGAGCATTATAAAGTTAAAATTCAATTCAACTTGTTTCAGTATAATTTTATTTTATGCAAATTATCATTAAATTAAAATTTACCTTCATGCATGCTATTCTAAAACTTAAAACGTATTATAATAGTCTACTATAAATATGAACTAAATAATACCAAAAACTGTTAACTCGTGTATTAACGCTGATAGTTTGAATTTGCTAAATTATGCAAGGATTTCTAATAGAATATAGTGCTGCTACTTTCGTCTATCTACATATGGCAGATAGATCATCAAGTCTTGCATTAAAGTTTAAGGGTTTGCTCAAAATTACGCAACTTTAAAATACCACACAAACTTGATACATTGATACTTTTTATATCGTTCGCCAGTTGGAATAATTATTATAACATGTAATATAGCCTCAGTTGTAATAAAATGGAAATAAATTCACTCGAACCTTCTTAAAAACAAATGTGTAACTGGAGCATCATTATTTTTATTGGTTTCGCTACCATTATTAGAAACTATTATTAATTATATAAGAATACATGCAATATTCGTTTCTATGAAATGATGTCAGTGTAGTAGTTTATACAGTTAGTGTTATTGACTATATGTTATTACTATTTTAAATATTAAAAATGTAGAGATTGCAAAAAGTTGTTGCTTTAACCTAACATAAACCACGCGTGTGCAAAATTGTAGAAAATCATAATATTTGTTAAATATCCTCAATTATGCTGCGTAGAGAGAGAGAGAGAGAGTGCAGCAGTAATAGTTCGAGGTTCGAGTGGTAATTAGTCAAGAAGAGTAGTTTGTTTGAAATTCTTCGACTGTTATTTTATAAGTATTATAATTATATCAACTAACAATCAATCAAAAGTCGCCCAACTAGAGGAGGACGAGGGTTGTCCTCCCATCATATTCGTACTTAACCGTTTTTGACTCGAACTACTTGTAGTTGAATTTCTTGTGGTTGAATTCTGAGATGCACCAAACTCTAATTCGAAATTGTCCGACGTTGTTCGTTTATTATCATTGGCGTCGCTATCACTGGTCAGATTCATTTGGTTAAAATAGTCGCTCAGCCCATACTCTAGCAACAATTGTGCATCCGTCTTGCTGTCTTCAAATACAGAATTGTTAGAGACCAAGTCATACAAGGGGTTTTCCAACGTGAACCCAAGTCCGGTTGGACAGTCCAGATCTATAAGGTTTTCCTCCGATCTACTTAATCGGGGTTTAACCTTGATTTTGTCACTCTCTGCATTCTTGCTTAGGTCAGTCATGGTTGATGCAGATGAAGAAAAGGACATTAAATGTAGCAAGTTGTCATCCCTTGTATCACCCAACATGTGCATAGATTTGGATGGATCTAGTGCTTTTTCCGATTGAATCGCTCTCATCGAGTTTGGGTATCTGGCATACATTTTTGAACCTTGGTCGTTGTGACTTGTTGAGTCCGTCGATCCTGGATTTCGAGACGAACTTGGAACATGGAATTTTGACTTTATATCTGAAACAGCGATGTGACTCTTTTGCTTCACAGATTTTCCACCCTCCTTTACCTTAATAATAAAAATGACACGGAATATTATAGCATGAATAATGTACATATGTATATATGTAACATAATATTTAAATGAGTTGGTATATAAATTCAATGAAATGACACTTCCAGATCTAATCACAGACGTATATAAAATATAGAAATCAATAGCAAAAGTGGCAAGTACACTTACCTGTCTTAGAGCAGACTTTAGAGCAGAATTCTGTTTCACACTTTCAATAATGTTTCCACTTTCTCTTTTAACGCTCATTATCACAGCTTTCCCTGCTTTCTTTATTGCAGTTCTGTGAAGAAATTAATTGTTTGGTAAATTAACTTAATTAGAAATTATCAAATTACAAACTGATAAATTATGTCATTATTACCGATTTTGACTTCCAGATATACTCTTAAAAACTGGAAAACCATTTCTTCCATTTGTACGAGTAGCTCGCCAGCCCAGTGCTTCTAATTCAAATTCGTCCGATTCGCATTCTGTAAATAAATAAGTGACAAGTGTATGAAATTGGTAGGCGTTGCACGAAACGGGCGGGTAACGATTACTTCATTGTAACAGTTTTATATTCACAATGTCATGGGCCGAGGTACATATAAGTTGTGAGATTTACATTTTGGATGGATTCATCAGTTATTTTAACTTTTAAAGCCAAGGCGGCTCCCAGATATTGAAAATGGTACAGAGGATTCAGAATAAATAGACTTACCTCCAGCTCGTATTTTTAGCAGCCTATCTTCTATAAATTGTTGAAATATTTGAAGTCGTAACAGCTTTGTTGTAATGAATTGTCTGTGGGATGGATGAGCGAATTGTACAAAGCTATAGAAAAATCACAATTCAAGTATAATTAACTAACATCCAGAATTCACACTTCGCAGTGATATGATCATGTTAAACTTACAGCTCAGAGTCAAAACTTTGATCATCATCTCTGATTGCTTCTTGATAATGTCCCATTACTTGAGCCAGGGATCTCAGAAATGCTCGAGCAAGTCCATCCCCTAATACGCGTTCTCCTGTCAAATTTTTTCGTAAAAGGCTACCCACATCATGAGGCAAGGAATCCAAATCCTCTGGGAATGGAGAAGTCACAGTGTCTGAGTCAGCATCCACCCTAACAAGCTGACCTAGCGACTCTGGGGGCAGACGATCCCACACAAAAATGGGAACCCCAATTAGGAACGGCATTGGGGCTGACAAATAATCGGAAAGTTGCATCGGTAAGACTGGAATGAAAATATGTTGCCAGCAGAATGGGAATAAAAATAAGTTGCAGGCCATCACTATTGAAGAAAGTCTTGACAACTTCTTTGAGGTAATGACAATTCTTCTCTCGGATAATAGGGCCGTAAACAACACTAGCATGGATTCCGTACCAAGAGCTATTAGAATTATAAAATTTCATTACAAATATATATAATTCCAATATAAATATTTATAATATACCATTATAAAATTCGCTGACGTTTCTCTACAAGAAAAATATAACGATACAAATTATTATCCAGTATAACTCAATCTGGTCATCAATGTCTATTATCACTTACATTTTCCGGAATGGAAGGCAAAGAGAGATCACTTGATAGGGCCACGGGACAAATGAATGGCTTTGAACTCGTTGGGACCTGTGGAACCCATTATTTGTTTTAAACATGATTGCAACGAATGACTGACAATGAGTTTCATCAATCAAAAGTAAATCATCATCACGCTAAGATTAGAACCCAGACAGAAAACACTTGCATTTTTTTAAAACGGTTAAACGTATACATAAATCAGTACCACTTACATACAAACAGGTGCCAGATTCTGGCACTGGAATTGTGTACAGTCGATCCAAAAACGCAACCACCTTGACCTCATCAATCTCCGCGCAGTAGTTCAACAGTCTGTAGAAAATTTCTTGCCACGGAAGAAATGTAAGAAAAACTACTCCAGACTGCGATCCATTGTGATGTCGGCAGTACCCAAATGTCCACTTTGAATCCTCCCCCGTAAGTACATACGTGAAAAGCTCAACTGTTCCCCTACAAGTAAGTATTTAATTTACAGGACATTATGAAACGGGAGATTACAAAATCAGGTAGGGCGGATATTAACTTACGAATTCGTTGGACATGGAAAAGCAAATTGAGCTGCAGACTTGAGAATGTTGGGATGGTTATAATTGGCAGGGAAAACGGACTTGATGATGGGCGTCCCACCGTCTGACAATCCGGGAGACCTTCTGCCCCCATTTGTGACACTCCCTCCATTCTGTCCGCCTGGCTCTGAAGACGAACCCTCGGCCCAAGGTGGCTCAATGACAATGTAACACTCGAAAATCCTTTTCACTGTTTTCCTATCCCTGTTTTTTAAATGATGAAATATTATTTAATTAAACTGGCTATCCATTTATAATATGTTCTTATTAAAACAATTACCGTATTCTTGATCCCATAATCTCTTTTTTATATATACTGCTTTGGTTAGGTCGTGTAAAAAGACTAAAGTAAGTAGCAGTGATTTATGTATATAATATAGAATGTCACGTTTTGTTCTTAAATACTGGTACAATTGATAACACCATCAAGGAGCACCACAGAATACCACGAAATAATGACTCATCTCGCTTATATAAAATTTGACATACATACAATTATTCTACAAGAGTAACATGAGAGTAGGATTTAAATAATCTATAAAAAATTACCCGTTCTCTATTAATTACATTGCGACTAAATAATTTTGCATTATTGTGGGTGTGATGATAATATCAAAACATGGCGTATAACCTAGCAATGGTGAATCGAGGAGGAGGTTTGCAATGAAATAAGATTGTGTTTAGGGTTGGTGAACATTAGTTTGGGTCGGTTGAATTAATTCACTTATTTAAGCAAAAAAAAAATATGAACTTTGTATTTACTAAAGCACCAAATAGCTCGTAATTAAAATGTAAAATATTGGCACATTAAATGATTGTATAGAAAACAGTTAGATGACTAAACTGTGTTAGAGTTGCGTTGCGTCAATCTGTCTGTATTCGAACTCTCAGCAGTTCACTTTAAATAAGTGTTGATATTAATAACCACCATCGCCAATCACCATTAAAAATACTTGTGTGTCTGTAGTTTTCTCTTTCGTGCCACAGCTGAGACTGACTGGTAGTTGTACCCGTACGGTGGCAACCAGTTCTTTTTTAATTCATAGGGAATAATAGAAAATCTTCGTTGTTTGATTGAATCAAGACGGTGGATGACGTTGATGTGTCCAGGATGTAATGAAATGTCCAAATGTCAACACTCCGACTCGGGCTACGATACATGTGAACGTGATGTTTATATGCTGGGATTTGCATTGGGAGCAGCTTTCACTCACTTCTAAAGGGCGAGAAGGAAGCACTTTCTCAATGGAACCGGAGGCAGAGATCCTCATTGCTTCTTGCAGATTTATGTGGGAGTTTTCTAGATTGTCATTCATCATCCTATTTCATGGCACATACACAACACATTTATGCACCGGCTTAAATAAAATATAGAGAGAGGCGGCTACATAAAGAGAAAGCATCACGATCTCATTCGTTCTATTATGTGTAAGTACAGTACAGATGCATATATGAGCAAGTATTCATGCAATCAGAATTTTGTTAATCATGACCGATTGAAATGCATTATACTTTCATTTCAGACATATCACATTTAATAATAATAAGACGTGTGCAGTTCGATGATTGAAATTGACTCCGGAGTCATAATTAAATGTTCTGTGAGTGAAATTCACCCAGTGAATCATTTCACTTCGCTCATTCGTCGATTGTACTGTTGAAGAATGTTGCACGACTCTAATTGCAGTGCAACTATCGACGGCTGCAAAAAAGATAAACATAGTTATCAAACAGATTTTGTCCAGTTCTTTCCAAGTCACAGTGTTCAATGCTCATGTTACATATAAGATTTTATCGCTTCTGTTCCCTGGAATTGTCGGCAGTCCAAACATAACAATAATAATGCTTGTATAAGCATTTTTTTTTATTACATTGTTCATGCACCTCGGCCATTAATTTTAATTTTATTGCGTGCTGCTCCTACAATGACAAATGTCATAATTCGGTAGCAATTTTGAGAGACTGACATGACACCACAGAAAAGCTTGGATGTGGTAGCTTAAGCTACCACAAATTTAAATTTGAGCTACATAAATCCGTCGCCTATCCAAGTCTAGCTACCATTCATTCGGCAGTCAACATCAGTGTGTGACGCAATCACTCTCTCCTCCTAAAAAGTTCCGTATGGACTCATGATTTGCTCCTTCCTTCTCAACACCGGGGAATCTTCAGCTGACTTGGCGTTATAATTTCATTTAGTTTGTTAATAAATTAGTACATGAATAGTTGCTGGTGTCTAACAATAGTGTGAAGCTGAAGCTGATTCTTGGATGGATCGTATGGTAGGTAGGTACATTAGAAAGCTTGATTTGTGGAGTTGAATGTGGTGGTTGAACATCCCCATTTAACTTTAACCACGATATACTAAACAGCATCCCAGTTATAATAGAACAGTTGAGCACTATCTCACTACTTTGGCAAGCCTACCCTACCACTAAAATAGATGAAGCATTTATTAGTATTATTGTATATTGTCCACTTGTTGCTCCCGAAGTTTGGTCAATCAGCAATTGTACAGAATTGATAGAGGTTGCAAATCACTTTTAATTTCAAGTCCGCATAACGGGAGCGATTTATGCAAACCTTGGATTAATAATTTAATGACGCTTTTCCTGCTCTTGGTTTCGCTGCTTCTTGTGAAGAATCCTTCGTTTACTTGTGTTGTGAATTGGAAAGTGCAGTTATAGTTAGATAAGATATTCTATTAAATCAATTTGTAACATCCTTGCATCCTGAACGAGTTCAATCTCCTCCAATCTCCACTAACTCGGGTCATAGGATTAGATTTGGTGAGATCGAGGTATTAAATATTATATATAACATAGTACTTAATTTTTTATATATTTTTCTTGCATTTTACATTTTATTTTCTTATCATTATATGGCAAAATAAGAACAAAGCATGCGCGTACTACATATATGGGTATTCCAGGATACACATTAATATTTGATAATATATTCATTGCGTGTTGAATTTACACATAAAGAACGTAGTAGCATGATTTTTATATGCAAATTAAGGGAAGGGAATAACCTTGGATGGTAACTAGTATGTAATGGTGTAACATTACGTTTCTGCTTCAATAGAAAATTGTAGTATGTTTAATGATGTTGATGTAACAACCTTGCTAGGACTTTATCACAAAAACCTAAATGTCTTTATCTGATGCATATATATGATATTCATGATCATATCCATACAGAATATGCATATATGTTATATAAGAAGTAATGTTATTTGATATGTAATATCTCAGCCCCTTGAAGGGATTGTCTTTGCTGCGGCTTATAGTCCCTTTAGGACGAATGGACCCCGCAGATAACTTGGTCGGCGAATAAAAATTGCATATGTGGTGACCGTTGCACACTACGACCCCATCTTCACATTGCAATTATTCGCCATGTCATAGTTTTGCCTTTTTCATCCAATTTGCCTGAAATTTGTGGGTGTTTTGGGACACTCTAGTGGACGAACCCCTGAACCCATTTTGACTAACATGGCGTTAAAATGCGTATCCCAACAAAACCTTGGATGAGTTCGAAGATAAGCAAAATCTGTCAAGTGGTTGGGTGGACCATGTAGGTAGGTGGGTGGGGTATTATGCAAATATTGTTAGACAAAATTGGGGACACAAATTACTAATGGCTGCTAATAAAAGTTTCCGAGGTGAATTCGGAAAAATTTCACCCAGAGGTATCCTGGGGGAGGGGGTGACCCATACCGATTTACAGAAATTTTCATATAAAGCTTTTCAGCACGGTGATACTTAATGGATGGTCTAGAAATTTTCAGAAATATTACAAAATAAATAAAAGGTTGAGTTTGACAAAACAACTATACTAGACTATTTTACAATGGTGTAAGAATTTCCAATCTCGAATATACTAAATTCAATTTAGTAAATTGGATTTTCGGCGAGCGTATGAAGATGCGAATGTTCATAATTTTCGCTCTTTCGAGTGGGTGTGGCAAGCGCAAATGTGGTCATAGGATCCCCTGGGGGTCATTGTTCACCCATCGGGTACTACATACCCAATTGACACCAAAATACTATAACCAATTGGCACCAAAATCTTAAAGGGGAGAGTGGTGAAGCTCTCCTCCTCAATTATATTACTCATCCTCAGTTTCATTCACCCTGCATTTGAGTAAAAATTATCAATTCTTCTGTGTAGGATCAAAGGGAATAACTTTTATCAGTATCTTTGAAAATCGCCCAAACCTGAAAAGTGAAGGATTCATTCAGTGAACTCGACCTTCTAGACCTTGCCTTGTAGACGTTGTAGAGAGAGATAAGACCTTCTGTAGTTGATGGTACATAACATACATACATAGTAATTTCAACACTATTTAAGAAATGGCTGAAATAAATTAACTGCATGGATCGAATCAATCACAAAAAGTCTGAATCTCCATTACATTGAAATATCTGTATATGGGCCAATCTTTCTTTTAGTAATATCCCCCGAACCAAGATAACATTTATTCATCATGGTCATGGTACAAAGAAACAAACAGACGAGGACCAGACATAACATAATATAGCCTTTGCCTTCATATGCATATTTATTTAAAGTCAGTAATTTTAAAAATAAATGTCTCGCCGTAAATTTTTAATTGCTGTTAGTTTAGTTTTGAGTTTTATTTCTCCCCTGATTGGCCCTGATTGAAACTTTAACATTCGTGTGTTTGTGTTTCATTTATAGAACCATAATTGAAACAAGGTGCGACTTTTCTTGGCTAATAAACTGAGATAATTACGGCTGTATCGTCCAGGAAACGCTTACAATGTCGCATGACCATCATGGCCATGGACATCATAACCACGCACCGGTGGAGATCGTCACCTCATCTACCACCCTTAGCTCCATAATGGACCATAATGATATGGATCACGGCAGTATGGATCATTCAAGTCATGTCGGAGGAGACAGTGCGGCACAGGATGGTGGTGGTGATCATCACAATATGATGATGCATGTAAGTATATAAAGTGGTAAGAAACGTATAATTAATGGTGTCAAATTAATTATTAAAACTTGGATAGATGTTCTTCCACGGAGGAGTGAAGGAAACAATCCTGTTCGAGTGGTGGAAAATAACAGATGTTGGGGGACTAATTGGGTCAATGATTGCCATCTTCTTCCTGGCTTTCTTTTATGAAGCTCTCAAGGTAAAACAATAAATTAAGATAGGCTACTGTTTTTGTTTAGAAATTTAAAAAATCTTCTCGGTCTAAAGTTTTACAGGGAGCATTTGTATCGGCATTCCTTCAAAACGGTTGAACTCAACACGCTCTCTGTCCCAGTGGAGAACGGAAGTTCTGTAAAGGAGACCCATAAAACTGTCCAGTATGTACTTTCACCATAATACTTTTTCGCTTCGCTTTTATTGTCGTCTTGCAAATTCTTTCACGTCCACGTTTTCCATCTCGTATATATCAGAATCTCTTCAATTCCTGCTTCTTCCCGTCCTTATGGCACGCCCGAAATAAATCCTATATTCATTTCCCAATCAAATTGTGCTTGTCCTGGTAAGCGACCGAGTGTGGAAACGACAACGAGTAATGCAGCAACAAGCAGCGGTGAAAGCAACGTCGAGAATCCTAAAAATAATAACGCTTCCTCATCTCGTTCAACTAGTTGTCCTCGGACCAATACAACGAGGCTGATTCCTCCTTCCTCCTATCATTATAAGTACACTATACTACATATATGATTTTCTCTCGCCCTTTTCCTTGGCTTTTTTGCAGTTATAATGAAGTTGCAATTAATAGATAATTGACATTATATATATCTTGTTGATTTATTGCAGGGTGAAAATTCTGAGTTGTATGCACATCGGTCAGACTGGTCTTCATGTATTGCAAGTTATTCTATCCTACTTCCTAATGCTAATCTTCATGACATACAATGTCTGGCTATGCGTGGCTGTTGCGGTTGGAGCAGGAGCAGGATACTTCTTTTTTGGGTGAGATATATAAACGAATTAATACAACAGTCCGTTTTTAATGGACATCCACAATCACTGTAATCGTTAATTGTTACGCATATTTCATAATTTTTTGTAGCTGGAAAAAGTCGCTCGTTGTGGATATTACAGAACATTGTCATTAAAAGCGTGCGTCAGACTAGTAAAATCGGGATCAAATAGCAAACATATTGGCTAGATTTTTTTATAATAATGCTGCATATTTTGACCTGTTCCATGATTTCATCGACAAGCCAGCTGTATATCTATCTATCACACATGTTGTTGCTCAACAAATGCTCTATTTGATGTAGTCTATCTATTATTTTGTAATGAATAACTTTGAACGTAATCTCCAAGTCATACAGACCTTCTACAATCACAATATTGAGTTCATCTGTGATGTTTTATTAGTTGCAGATTTTCTGCACTCTGAACTAGTATATTTTATGCCCTATGGTGCTTTATGCTAATATACGCGTTCGTGATACTATCACGAATTATATATGGTTAAGGATGTTTATATTATTATTGTACATTATGTAGAAAGAACGCCTGTAATATGATTTCAGGATAATAAAACTATCATGCATCACACAATCTTTATGTGGATATTTTCATTTTAGCGATTCATAATATACGTACGTACACGTAGTACAAGATGAAATTTTTTCATTTTTTAAATCATGATGATCAGTGTTTGACTTTTGATTTTTATTTAAAACAATTCTGAAAAGAGTAAGTGTAGAAATATTGGAACAGTGATTGGCTTTGGCATAGTTTGTCTTGAATTAATGTACTTATATAATTTTAGATACATTTTATTTGAGGATTCAAGTATTATGTCTTTGTCATATTATGTGAAACTAAATTTAATAATACTACTGGATAGTTTTGATAAAAAAATTTGTAAACAATTTCAGTATACACCTAATATGTTTTTGATCTTAATAATAGTTTTGTTTGATTAGTTTGCATGTTTCGGAGGTCATTCGGAAAGCGTTAAAATGAAGTCGTTTGCATAAAAAGTATATAAAAATGAGTAGACTGTCTGTTTTTTGTGGTACCTCAGTTCTATCTACACACATAAATGTAATGTGATTATGATGATTATATAGAGTTCATTATAGTCATGAAATGTACTGATTCGCACGCCTCAACAGCAAACTTATATTTGGACTCACGGACATATGTATATGTTATTGATATTAGTTACTTCATTGTTCTCTCGTACTCATTTTGGAAAATTTCATACACACACCAGTTTCATACAATTGGAACACAAAATGGTCTATGATATATATATATAGATATACATATCATACGTAATTATATTAGTATAGTGCCCATATTTCACAGAGTCGCTCCATCGTCGTTGGATTAAAAGGAAGCTGGGTATAAGTAGTTTTTTTTAGAATCAAAGTAAATAAAAGTAGCGATAAGATTATGTTTTAGGATTGTTTCATTTGGATGGGTGAGAATTGGATTGGCACCGCAACCGTCGCTGCACTTTTCCTAGACTTATATAAAGATAGATACACAGCTCTGGAGTTTAAAGGCAACGAATAACTGATGAGCCCCTGAGTCAGAATATCGGGTATCGCGTGTTTAAGTATCGGAGGGGGGAGGATTTGCTAAAGAGATAAAGATTATAATATTAGAGACGAAGGAGGAGGAGGAGGCAGTCATTAGTATTGTTATATGATGCACGTAGTAGCAATGTAGCAGCGTTGGTTGGTGGGGAAAAGTCGTGATAAGTGAAAGTAAGAGCTTGGAGACGACTCTAGGAAGAATTGGAGCATTAAATTAAACTTTTGTCAGCACCAATCATTTTCGTCGTCTGACAATTGTTGGAGTCTCGGAAGGTCTGCACTACGTCCTGGTCCCATGTCTAAGTAGCCACCAAGCTGTGGGGGTGGTAATGGCAGTGGCAATGGTAGTGGTGGTTGCTGTCGCTGGCTGTGGAACCCGTTTGGCACTTGGCGTTGCAATCTAGGAGGTGATTGGGGCAGCATTCTATTTCCACGACCTGTCACAAACAGACTCTATCTCAGCTACCTCTCTCCCACGCATATCATTGCATTCACACGCACACGTCCATTAATCTTATCAGCATGCTCATGCCCTACTAAGTATGTCACATTGTCCAAGTGCCTCGCCCTCCACCCTTCCCCACAATGGAGTCACAAATCAACATTTTATCTGCATTGCATACTGTCAGAATGACGGAAATTTTGTTATGATTGAGGCAGATTGCATCGCCTAGACTTCACTCGAATAGCATTCTCATGCTTTTACAGAAATTCGTCAGTATTTCTACCTAAAGAACAAGCAACTGCTTGTTCGAAACTGAGAGGATCATGAGGATCGTCCCGTCTCATGCGGGGCGGCTCAGGTAGCGACGGCTGCTGTCTCCAGGGCTCTCTGGGCAGTTCTCGGCGCCCACGAAGTCCTCGAATTGGTTCCGGAGTGAAGGTTCGCATCATACGAGTAGGGGAAGAATTCAGTCGGGGGAAATTGATGGCTTCAGCTGAGCCTATACGCCATACCCCATAATAATACATATCATGTAAATTTCCCGTAATTCACATATTATTTATTACAAGTTATTCCAATGTACGTAAAAAACTTAAAGAAATCAAGTGCTACAAATCCAAGCATCTACAACATTTTAAATTCAATATCACACTGCACTCTCACCTGACGCTTGCTGATATAGATTCCGAACTTGTGGAGGCAGCCGGAGTGCCGAAGGATGTGGGGGAGTATTTGGTAGTCGTCGGCCACCTGATGAATTGAAAATGATAGCTGTAAATATGTACGATGCAAATTCTACGATTATATATTTTGCTAGTGTGCGTATATATGTGCAACCTGCTCGTCTTCCAGGCAAAACTGGGTAACTTCCGTTTGGTTGATATGGTCTTGTGTGATATGGAGGTGTAGGGGATCTCTCCAAACTGTTATTGACTCGTCGCAGCACTCTGAAAATGATACATTTATGCTAAAATTGTAGCTGCCACACAAGTTCGCATTGTTTTTTCGAACGTTGGGGATACCTTGGTGGAAGAAAACCGTTATTGCCCCTGTCAGGGCTGGATGGACTAAGTACACTATCATGGTATCCTGGTCGGAATACTGGAGACAAGGAAAAATCATCACCACCACCACCCCGAATTTTTCGACGAGCCCTTCCTGTTAAGTAAAATTTTGCGACCTCTAAATTTTATCTTTGCCCTACCACTCGACAACTCTCTTCTTGGGATTACTTTTTGTTAGCTTAATAAAACACAAGAACTCATATAAACTAAAAAAAACTGAACAACTTGATTAGTCGGGGGCGGGGTCAGTAAACAACAATATCACACTATGAAAGCACACTAAACAAATGTTAAACTATTTTACCACGTCTTGAGGTTTCCTCTCTAACAAGCTCGACCATATCCTCTACAGCGTCACTGAAACCTACATCATGCGGAAGTAACCCCCTTCTCGTAGGAGATGGAGATCTCATGCTCATGCGATGACTGTATCCACGATTGTGAGGATGTAGATGCACCTTGTCTTTATTTTTTAAGATTGTTTAGATTTTATTTATTCGTAAAATGGTATATATTCTCGATTGAAAAATAAGCACGTTAAAATTGGACATGTCACATACCTCTGCTGAGCATGGCCTCGTCTTCTTCTCGAAAATCGTGCATCGACTCACGGTCAAATTCAAAACGATTTGATCGGTTAGAGTTTTTGCGTTCCAATAAACCACCAGACGGACTAGGCGAGCCTTCCTTGCCGTCAGTTATCATATCGTGTAGTTCAATAACCTAAGGGAAATGCACACCGTTAATATATTGCATTGCATCTTTCTCCTATGTCATACTCTTTCTATGTACATTATTTATGTACATCCATAAACACAGTTCTATAACGAACAACGACTAGAAGACTAATGTATATACGTTTGCGTGTACATCACAAACATGCACTTTTCATTCTCTAATAATATTTAAACACCAGTTATCAATACGGTGTGTTCTTTCTACTGTTTACGCAATTGAGTGAAAAGTTTGCAAAAATTCCATGCCTTTTGTCCGTACTTACAGATTACATATCTCCCTATACTTGTAAATATCTCTAATGAGTAACATGTAGTGTGTCAGACATTCTCTTTTTCTCTGAACATACTTATTGGTGCAAATTTTACAAAATCAAATCTAATAATCAGTAGAATAAATGATTTGTGCGTTCTAATAAATTGTCAAAATTATTCGTGATCTAGGTCTAGAGAGTAACATTGCCATTGCATGGTCAACTACATTTGTGTACTTCCTATGTATTGATCACACTATTGCAAAGTAAAAATCTCTGTGGGACGGAGAAATACAAACTTTGACCTCTTTTAACATGCTTTGAGCTCACAGAGAGGGGAATTTTCCGTCCCACGGTAATTTTTACTCTTCAATAATACATATATAGTACCTACACATCAATCATGTCACTCAGGATTTATACATACGTACATCACAATAAACAGTTAACACACGTTACTACCACCATATTCTAATTTAAGGATGACAAACTAGACAAAACTAACCACATGTTTTCTATAAAATAAACTATTATACGACATGGTCTTATTTCTACGTGATCATCTGGTCATGTTTCCCAAGTCTCAGGTGGTCGTTCTTGACACGCTTTAGGGTTTGGGATGCATGATCAGTGAAAATTGTGCTTACTTATTTAATCCTAAGAACACGGACATTATATACTGCAAGATATGCATTTTAAGATGACGAGACGCTAAATGTACATAACATAAATGAGGTGCATAACAATCAAGTCTAACTGTCTATTTAAACTAATGTTTAAACTAGGATGCCTATGACCACATCAACAGACTCAAATCCGGGAATGTTTATGCAAACCCCATTTTTTTGCTGCCAACTTGATCGCCTGCCCCGCAAACTGGACCGTTTCTTCTTCATGCTCCGTTTTCGACCACCGCGATTGCTGCCCTCTTTATCCAAAAAGTCCTTCATGCCTTCCTCTGTGACCTCCTCCTCCTCTTCATTAGCATGTCCCTTAGCCATTCCCATTAAACATCGTAGCAAACCAGCCGCGGACGAGTTCTAAGTAGTTCAACATCCCTCTCTCAAATCAAGTCAGGATAAGACAGACCACCTTTTTAGTTTTATTTGCGTATTTGTAGTCTTAACATAAACAGCCTACCCACTGACACACCCACCACATCCAAACAAATATCATTGTCATCAAAGTCATAAAATTCTCCTTGTTGAGTAATTACTTTTAGTTTTACATGGTTTTTACAAAATGGTCAATCTTACCGGCAACCCTGTCGACTTAATTTTTCCAAACTTTGTCGACTTCCAATTTTCTGAGATTAGCAGCCCTGCATATATTTTTCCTGAAATAAAATCTTCAGTTACATACTTACAACAAGGAGTTTTGAGCATTACATTAAAATATCAGTAGAGTATTGATTGTTTGTGGAGCTCTTCTGATTTGATATTGTAGTGTAATGCATTGAACAATGCCTCTTCATTATTTTTCAGGAAAATAATAGTCATATTCCCTTTTATTTACACAAGGTCTCACTTTTGCCCCAACATGTATAACTCATGCAAGCGTTCATTTGGAACATGCTAATTTGGGGAATTTGCGACATGTCGACAGGAGACTCGTCACATGTTGCTAAATTTTTCGTGTTAATCATATTGCATAAAATTTTTCTCACCAACTGTCATTCTAGTTGCTGGCTGAACATTGTCAGGTGGGAGTGGTATCAAAAAATCCAAATTTTTCTTGCTTTGAATGGGCCAAATTCGCTGAATAGTAATTCGAAGCTCTCTATCCGCCCCATCCATCTCCTCAGCAGGTCGCATTTTAATGTTGAGATTTTCACGGATAAGTGCAAACAGGGTTGTGGTGAAATTTACTTGACCTTGCTCGTCCAGTGGCATATTCATTCGAATTAGTTTTTTATACGCTAGACGATATGGGCACTTGTTTCCAAATCCTAAAGGTGGGTCTAGCATGTGAAAAAGACAGAAAAATATTTATAATTAGATAATATTAAACAAAATTTAACAAGATCATTATTCTTCTTACCCATATTTCGAAGCATATCGTACATCTCGGTGAAATGGATTCGGCCCCTGAAAACCAATTAAGTACATTGATCATGCATCCATTCAACCATCCCTACATAAATACACATGTCTACGCAACATGGGAAATTGCAAGTATCATAATATCCCTAAATCTATCATTAACCACGTAATTGTCTCTTTGCTATCCTATTGGTACTATATTACACATACGTCGCACTAGGATCATATTCTGCCCAAATACGAATAAATTCGTCCAAGTGATGGGCCCCTGAAAATTGAATATGTATGTATAAATATAGGTTAGCCTATCTTTATGTACAGTAAATTGGAGCATGTCTCACCAAGAATTGATGAATCTCTCGTCAGGTAGTCAAAGTTGTCCATAATGACGGCAACAAAGAGATTAAGCATCTAAAAAGTACGTAAATATTGTGTCACAACTCACTACGCTTCATTTAATTCATCGAAATAAGCATACGAGTTGAGACAAATTACCAAAAATGAACAGAAGAAGATGAAGGATACGAAATAGACGTATGCTATATTGGATCCACATTCTTGTCCTTGTTTATTTGACAATTCATCACAGGGTTGTCCTGAATTTATAGCGACGAATTAATCAATTAGCTCACTATTAATTAATTCGTCATACCCACCTTTAACGCAGGACAGCATTATTGAAGGCCACGATTCCCCAGTTGCGCACCTATAGTTCATGATTATATTTCCTCATTTTAATTCCGAAGGAGTGCGAGTGAGTGCAGACAATTTAAAATGAGGAGCAAAATTGGGAAGCATTTGAAAACGAATATATAAATCACGTATTATATTTAGATCATCAAAAACAAATGGGGTGGAAGCATTATGTAAAAGTGACAAAGCCATGCCAAGGCAATAGCAAGTGCTCCTGATGATGTGCAGATTAACAGAAATGGATGCAACAGAATTGGTAGCTTTGCGCTTAATATATCTCGACTTTATGTTCCGCTGTAAATGTATTCACCACTCCAGTACCGCCAATCTATCATTCAGCTGGTTGGCTCAAAATTTCGAGAGATTTTTCTTTGGTGGTAATAAGCTTTGAGATGATGATAAAGTTTAAATGATGAGTGCATAGTGAGAATAATTTTCCAGTTCAATCAAAATGAGGGTGATGAGAAAGAAAATTATTCGAGTGATTATCGTCAGCATATTTCGGGGTTAACTTAATTAATCAAAGAATGGAATAAGGATCCAATAATATAAACTGCATAATAAACTGTGAGTGAGAGGAAAAAGTAGAAACGTGTACTGCTCTGGTCTGCTGTAAGAACTAGATTTGTATACTGACCGGAATAATAGCATCAATCCTTGAAGGAAATTGCGAAAATTGTTGTGTCGAGTTATTGAAGACTCTGGATTCAATTGTATATTCCCAAACACCTTGATAAACAAACATTAACACTGAGGTTAATAATTAATTAATTAATCCAACTAATGACTAAATATGCTTCTCGATTCAATTGGATTCCAAAATTGGTATACGCAGATATTAAATCATGAAAAAATAACGCCAGCTTTGATCATTATGAGATTACGACATGAATTGCTACAAAAATGTCACCATAAAGCAGAAGTATCAAAATATTACATCTACATACACAAATTTTACTATTTTACTATGAACCATAGGAGAACCCGATCCTCAAACTATTCATAACCTTGTCGTTACCACAAAAGTATTTTCATTTTCAGTTTAGTTTTCAGGCTAGATCTGTGTCCATAATCTCATCGCTCAATAATTTGCCGAGTCAACCTATGTACGAATGCGAGTTGAACAAGACAGTCCAACGTGAATTTTTTAATTGGAGTAACTGCTAAACGTTGGGACTAAAAGATGGTGTATATGCAAATAACTACCATTGTCGACAATCAAAATTTTGTATATGAAGTACGATTTGTAAGAGCCGTCATCTTCTAACTTGTCTACATATGACTACGTAAGTATAGTACAGAGTCTGTAGTATGACTAGGACTTGTTGAGACTTAATCTGAAATGACTATATAGTGATCTTTTCTTGTCGTCGATGGGTTTCTAGTGATCAACTATTGACGAAACTAAAAGTAGATCAATGTATTTACAACATAACTACGATTTAAACGACCATAAGTACTTGTATAGAGAATAAATACGTACATACGTAACAACTAGATCAGCTAGATAGCGAGAGCCACGCGAACATGTAAGTGATTAAAGAGTTACTACAGAGCCCGGGTGGGTAAGTATAATATACAATAATAAGTACTGCTAACTAGATACGAACAATACTGCTCTACAAATAAACTAGGACGGTCAGCGACGACAGTTTACAGTAGTAATTATTGAGACTGTAATCACCGAAACAAGAGGAGGAGCGCTGCAGGAAAATTTCTAAAGTTGTTGTGTCGCGTTATAGAAGACTCTGGATTCAATTGTATGTCACCGAATACCTGAGAAAAAACATTTATAATAACGTTGCACTTGACAGGAAATCTGGCTGCCAAACAAAGATTACTTGGAAAAATTTCCACAAAGCACGACGATTTGCAACTCAGATTCGCACTTTCCTCCCACTACCTCACCATCTTCTCCCAGAAGATCAGCACCCAAATTTTCAGAAGTATGCATGTATATCAAATCGAGAACAAAGTAAACAATTTGGTTTCAAATAACAACTGAAAATTTTTATGCCGATTAATAGAAAGATCGGGATTAAACAACAAGTTTCCGAGTACCTAATAAAACCCCAATAAATTGATAGTGAAGGTTAGTCCCTAAACCATGTACATTGGTAACTCGGAAGTTTTATGTGTGTCTAGTAGCCAGTAGAAAACTTATCCTAAGCTCTATTCTAGTTCACTATCTAGACAAAAAGTAACACATTTTCTAGTTTTATTAGCATTTTTAATCTAATTGAACTCTTTTTTCTCATGTAATAACTCGTAGCTCGTAATTTTTTCCATCGGGAAATAAAATCTTCAAAATCAATCCTTATTTTCAACATTCCCACAAATATTTAGTTGGCTAATCAGTAGCTAATTAAGTAATCATCCTCACGAATAGGCCATCCCCCTCATTAAACCCCTTTCTGATACAAAATTTACGACATTTGTCACAAGTACGTGTGTCATTGCCAGACGAACTCACCTGCATTCCGATAATTGCATAGATAAAAAAGAGCATCGCGATCAACAGACAAACGTAGGGCAATGCTTTGAACGACTGCACAAATGTCCAGAGCAAAATGCGAATCGTGTATCCTATTTCAATCACAAGAACAGCAAATGAAACAACCCTAATTGTAATACAAATGCAACTTGTTGTAGCCCAATAACCTTGTCGGAGCAGCTTGATCAACCGTGCAGCACGGAAAAGTCTCAGAAAGGCCAAGTTGATAAAGTCAACCTGAAATAATATTATTCCTAACGAACTGTTTTGCTACAAGATTGCTTTCACTTGTGGTTCTCTGTGCATACCGAAAATTCAACAGCTACGGCATCGATGATGGATCCGATCACAGCTAAAGTGAAATAAAAATAAAGCTTAGAAAGTTACAACAAATCGTATATAAAGTTAAGTAACTTGCTTATAAAGTCGAAAATATTCCACGGGTCTTTTCTGAAAATATAATTCACATTCAAGGTTCACTACATTTGCAAGCACATGTTGTCACACATCGTTAAATATAAAACTGATGTGTTGATTTAACTGGTGAATATTAATAGTCATAATCTCTTACCGTTTAAAATGTCGATATCGCAAAATAGAAAAAAATTAATGTATATTAGCATTGAGTAAAATTTACACAGATTTATACATTCCTAACAAGTAAAATTATTAATAAGTGAAGTATTACCTTTGAAAAAATTCTACAAAACATTTAAAACCAGAATTAGAACAATATATGTACTGTACGTAAGCTTTTATTGATGAGACAATAATAAAACTCAAGAATTTGGAGAGAATTTGGAGAATTGGGAGGTGATGAAAATTCTCTCAATGAATTCTTCCATAAAACACGAATTTGCAAAATATAACATCCTGAATGAAAAAGGAGGGAGGAGGACAAGAACTGCACGATTTTTTTGGTGGGAGGGATGCATGGATGGACGGGATAAGGGAAGGCAGTTGATGAGGTGCTGTAGGGAAAATGAGGAGCTCTGGAATTTTGGGGTGATACATTTCTAAAGGCGTTGTAATGTAAGACGAGTAGAACAAGAGTACGGCAAAGGCGACAAAATACAGACAATGAGAATACATTTGGAAATAATAATAAGTAACAGAGTAGCAGTTACGACTACAAAGTTAAAGGTCAAATATGACGACGATGGTTACCTTGAGTCCAAAAGATATGATTTTGAGGATACATTCAGCCAAAAAGAGAAACGTAAGTGTATAATTGATCAGAGACAGCGAGTCTTCGAATTCTATGGGAGCGCGATGATACTAGACACAAAAGTTGGAGAAGAAAACTAAGTCACAAGCTGCTTTCTACACAAGCTTTCCACCTTTTACTTGGCTACTTGGCATAAATACGAATCATCTCGCCAATTACGCACTCCATTATCGCATACTCATCACTAGTAGTCAGTTGCTCAACTTGAAATTCTAAGAGTATATTCATCATTGCAAACTTTTTCATTAGAAAGAACTTGACCGTACAAAGAGAAAGTTTACATGAGTGATGAAAATGCAGATAACATTTGTCGTACAAACATAAGTAAGTAATACTGTACAGAAAAATGGTCAATGTCTTCTGCATGTGTGATTGATCTAGTTATGATCTCGTGGAAGTCTTTATAAGGTCAAAACCTCGTTGTCCTCATATGTTCAGTAGACACATATGTACATTAACGACACATATTTAATATGTAAGGAAGAAAGCTGCGAATGAGGACCCCATTCGTCTCTGGATTTCATCGTCTCATTGCAGCAGTTGATAATTTTTTACCCGTGCATTGCTAATTCTATGTGCTCGAGATTTCACTCGATTCAAACGTGCGGTTCAACGTGATTGTGCAAATGGTGAATACTATTGAGTGCATTGACATTCTCAAGCGCCCACTATCTAATATATTCTATAATTAGTAGTCATCAGCCAGCTTTTCACCATAAGTCTCATGCATAATTCTATCACACCAAATATCAATAATAGAAGAGTACCTTATTTTACCGATGACTGGCGTCCAACATTTAATGATGAATTGATGACCGTCTAAATTCTGCACAACAGCAGTTAAATAAAGGCAGCAGACAAGGGGAAGCTGAATAAGTGTATAGTTTAAAGTAGTATTTATATTTGAAAATAAAAATACAGCACATAATATGCACCCGAGTCAGGTCAAATTTTGGACTTTACGAGACAGGAACTTGCAGTGAAAATTTGGTTGATACATACATAAACTGCTTCGTGCTTACTGTTTTCCAGTCTGCATACCGAAAACCTGTATTTTCCATCAACCTCGCGTGTAGCAGAAGGCCTGGCTCGGGCTTCGAATATCACAAAGGGATGATCAAATCATGATTTTGATACAAAAACGAAATGACCTTAAAAGAGTGAACATTGACAGGATAAAACTGCTCAAAAGGCCGTTAAGAAAAAGGGCAGAATAGTGAAAGCACAACATGTACATACAAGAAAACGGTTTATAAGTTGCAAAACAAAGCATGGTTTTGAGGCACATGCAAACTAAATGAGTAAACATTAACTCATTGCGACAGTGATGATAATAAAGCGTCAGTTTAAGGAAGGAGCTAATAACCAGCTTTGGTTATACTACATATAAATATGTACAAATAGCAAATGCGTGGGAGTTAAGGATTAATGTGAGCAGTACTTTTGATTACTAATTGGAGTGAGGAGAAGCAGGCAACATTTTATTTGGGTCAGAATAAAAATTGAAAAACAAGTTGGAGATTTTCCAGCTTTGAAAGGGCACTCCAAAAAATAGAATCTTGGAAAAATATAAGTTGTGGATTGTCATATGATTTGGCTATTTGAATGAGATTGGAAAAACAGATCAGCAAGGACTGGGTAGTAAGAATGCAATAGTGGTTAAGATTTTTTAAATAATGAGAAGTTGCTGGCAAATTAGTGGTGGAAGTTATTGGGTGGAAATACAGTTAAGTGGAATGGATGCATTTTGAGAGTGAATTTAGTATAAAAAAGGAAGCATTCTGACTCAAACAAAGAGAAAGTCATTCAGTACCTTGACTCCGAATGAGATGAGTTTGAGGATGCATTCAAGGAGGAAGAGAGCGGTGAACACAGAGTTCAACCGACTCAAAAATTCCATTTCACTCTGACGGTACTGTTTAACCAACATTTTTTTTACAATCCTGGTGGCAGCAGTGTTATCGACCATCTTTCATGCTCGTGTCACACATAACAACTAAGGACTGCAAATCCGTTCCATTTTTCAAATCCGGATTTCGACTTGTCCGCTCAGCGTGACTTTAAATCCATTTTTGAAATTATTTAATGCTTTCAAAATTCTATACTTTTATTTAATAATTGAGTGGGCGTGGCGGTCGTAAGTGAGGCCATGGAATCAAACTACTTGGGATTCGTGTTCACACACCGTGTACATCCGACACACAACATATCCAAAGTGCATCAAAATCTGAAATTGAGATGTAGAGGTCCTTTCCTCTAAAATAATTATGACAGAACTAATTTTAAGGCATTTAGAAAATAGAAGTTAGAACGCACTACTTTATCGGACAAGTAATTAGCACTCAATCGAGGTCGAATTTTGTACAGAAGTAATTGGCCGAAGTAAAAGTGCATTTAGTGAACATCATCCAAAATCCGGATTTTGTTTCTGTGAATTCCGGGTAATTCGAATTCAAAAGAACCGAATTTGCAATCCTTGATAACAACACCAAACTTTCACTAATTACGAGCGATTTGATATCATAGGCATATATGTTTCACATGGAAGTCCAACGTTGTATAATTTATGGATGACGTTTGATGCATTTCTTGACTACCTAAGTTTTATTATTCAAAAAGTGTTGAATTCTTTAATAGATAATCTATTCTTCTATCAATTAATTATGAAGGAGAATATTTGTTTCTTACATAATTTGAAATTTTAAACTATTCTTTAATTCCATCAGGATGTCGTATTCACAACCGTTAGAAAAAATGAATCCAACGCACTTTTTCTGCATACGTTTAGACTTGGAGAAAGTTAAAATCTGATAAGAGTAAATTAGCATGAACGAACGTCCAACATCCCCTTTGTTGCAGTAAAATTGACAGTTTGACGCACCTCAAGTCTCATATTTAGTAGATTTTCTTGCCTAGTTTGCAAAAGGTGCTACTTTGCTTAGTATAAATGACCTCACTATAAGCATTAAGTTTTACACGTTGTTATCCTAATCATATTATAGAGATTTTCTATATATCTCTCTATATATCTCTATTCACGCACTATTTATGTAGCTATTTACTAGTAAGTTTGCAGAATGCATTTAATGGACAATTTTGTTACTTTGGATTATTTATGAAATTAGTACAATAATTCATGGAACCAGAACAATTGGAAAATGTTGCTTCATTCTGACGATAGTATTGTTAGTACAAATTCATCCAAAATCCAAGATTACATCAAACATCATCTCATCAGTGATTCCAATACGACTTTTGCACTTTGACCGACCTTTTTTTGTTGCTTATTGCTAAGTTATCACTCACACACCACCACATTTACAGTCATTCATACACGCCATCCTCTAAGCTATGCGTCATGCATGCTAGACGAAGGGGGTAATCAGAGACATTACAGACAACTTACAACACCTTATTGAGGAACCGTAGGAAACACTGCATTCCTTATTGGTGGGTATATTTACGTCTAATTGTAAGTACCTACATATGTAACCTGTTCTAAAGTTTAAGAATTACACTTGAAGAGCAACATGCAATATTTGTGTAATGAAACTACGAATTCATGCGAATAAGAATTTTACTCCTTCAGCGGACTTTCAGCTACTTACTGTCTGAAAATTGAGGAAATCTCTTAATTGAGACAATTAATAAATATGTATGGTCGAGGAATTAAAATTAAGCACATTTTTACATGCATTCCTTATGAGAAATGTGCTTAATTACAAATCATTCCTCGACCATACCTATGTACATGAGTGACTGCAACTTTATCACGAAACCGATTTAATAGGGCATGCAAATTGTCATCAACTAGAAGCATTATGCATTGTGAGTGGAGTTTGAAACTAAAAAAATTGACTTATATTATCCATCATACAATTATCATTCAGGGCGAATTTTGTTTTCAACATGCTTTTCTTGAAGCAATAGGTTAGGAAACATGCCTAGTATAAATATATAATGACATGCAAACCAGTCATACTTGGAATACTGGACACGATGCAAACGACATATTTAATCTAAGTAGTGCAGCAAGATGCTGTGCATTGTGAACATGCATTCCCAGTTTCAAACACGTCCATCGTGACGTAACTTATTTGTAAAATCTTGCTGTATAGTCGATTTATATGATCGATCGTGGACAAGTGTTTTGTTCCTGTATTGGATGTATTATTGTTTATATAATATACTGATCAAGTTCTGTCTTTGAGCATAATTTTGTGAATGGATAATCTATTCAGCATGTCATGATGACTAGTTATGTTTTTCTTTCTGCATACATAAATATGTACCTATCCCGATTTTGTTACGCCTTACCTTCATCATAAGAAGTAGAGTGTTGAGTACGATGAGCATCATTATAAAATACTCGAACGGTGTAGATGCGACCATCCTCCATCTTTAGGAAATAAATTGGCAATTAGTTAGTTGCATTAAAATTGTATTATTTTGCAAATGTTGTTTATTGAGATATGCAGCGTATCTGTATCAACTGCTAAGGGTTGATATAGATAGTAAATGTTACTTGTACTTATTTTTTCAGTCAGAGTTTAAAAATAAATCGATTTGCTACAGATTATTTCAAATGTTATTGTCATGTTTCAACAATTTCCTGAATTTTTTCGCATGTAATAGTACTATTTAAAAACACATTCTTACATTTTGTATTTGATGGAGTCTCTATTCTTCGGCATGTATCTTTCTAGAGGACGTGCCGAAATTGCAAAGTCTATGCAGGATTTCTGAAAATTTGCCAAGTGGTTAGACGTGTAATGCAGTAGTAATATATTATACATACATTTTTGCATTATGTGTATATGTAGATACCTGATTTTTGTCAATGTCACCGTCTTGGAGCTCTGCTTCTCCTTGTTCTTGGAAAGTAATGATGATCAAGGCAACGAAAATGTTCACAAAGAAGAATGGAAACACAATGAAGTATACAATGTAGAAAAGGGACATTTCTATTCGGAAGTTAGGCTGAGGACCTAGATTAAGAACAAATTATGGTAACTAAACAAGCCGAGAATTTATTAACTTGAATTAGAAAATACACTATATGAATGTATTGTGCTTTGATATTTAGATAAATGTAAAATTCGTGCCTTGGTTTTCCCATGTTGCTGCCATCGAATTTTGTAAAATTCTGCAAAGTATGCCCAAGTTTAACACATCACAAAAAACAAATTAGTCATAAAAATGGCATTAAATCATGCGACATACGTTGGCCACCCTTCCCCAGTTTGTACTGCAAACAAGGTTAGCATCGCTGCGTAGAAAATGATTTAGATTTATAACTAACTTATTTCTTTGAATAAGGTATGAAAAAGTTTATGATTAAATAATTGTAATGCAGCATTTCTGAATGTATACTAACCTACTATTACATTATCATAGTGAAAGTCTTGTATGTTCCACATCCTTGGGGCCAGACTTGGCGGACCGTTCCCACGAATCTTGAAAAATTCTCCGTGACAATCCGCTTCCGTTAATCGACTTTCATCGGTACAATATTGGAAACGCCCGTTAAACAGTTGAACAGCAACGACCGCAAAAATGAACTAGCACAAAAATTGCACCCAAATTGCGTTGATGTTACAAAATTATTGTTGTAAAGGAATGCATACTTGGAACAGGAGATACACAATGAGAATGTTAAACACGTTCTTGAGCGAATTAACAACGCAGTCGAACACAGCTTTGAGCTTTAATGAAAACGAGAAAAAAATTACCACACGAATGAACATAGTGTTTAAGTCCATATGCACATATGTACGTCTCAATTATGCATACTTTCGAGCCACTTACCTTTGGAACACGCTTAATTGTCTTCAGAGGTCGTAATACACGAAGGACTCGTAGGGACTTGAAATTCAAAGATAAGGAAAGATTATCAGAATGTTCTAATTTCGGGGTTGCCTTGCAGGTTATTCATAATAAATGACTATTCATTAAAAACAGGTCAACTAATGTTGATGTGCAAACAAGTACCTTGATGGTGTTTAGCTTGGAGCTGATATCGCTTACTCCACCACCACCACCTCCCTCATCGCTCCCTCCGCTTCTATATTGTTAAAAGGTCATGTGAGCATCATAATGCATGTCTTGTACTAAAAAAGCTTTAAGGTCAGCAAGCAAAAATTCACGAATAGCATGAAACACGCTTCTAATTAGTACTATTAGAGTAAACTACTTTTCATTTTCAAAGATACAACGCATAAAAGGGTTTAGTAGCGAGATTTAATTAGAAAACACAGCAAGAAGGACAAACATAGGCTAATGGATAAAATAACTAATATTCAGAACAACTCACTGATTACTGAAAAAGAAGGCAATGAGTGCGCAAATCACCACCAGGCTATCTAAAATATTCCACATATCTCGACAGTACGAGCCGGGATGGAGTAAGACGCCAAGGTCCACTACCTTCAATTAATCCAATTAACAAAATGCCCGTTAGCTCTTGATCGTCACACCCACCCGTAACGGACGCCATATTTATTTATGGAAAGAGCAGGAAGGAATTTGGGCTTTGTACACAACTTTAATAATCAATCCGCATCAGTATTACATATTAATTAATTACCAACCAACCCAAAGCCGTATAATACAAATATTATTAACATTATCACTAATAAGTATTATTTATGTTAAGTTGGACGCAAGCTTACTGTCCTTGAACAATTTCAAAAACTACTGTTTAATATTTCGCTGGTCAATAGAAAACTACGATACCTACGTGTACATAGGAAATATGGTATAGAAAAGCTCGAAAGTCAATTGACTGTAAATCACACAAACTCACGGCAACTACAAATTATTTTCTCCCACGAGTGACGAGCGAGGATGCATACATTGTTTGTATCCTCGCTGTATGTGACACACCTTCTACAAATGCATACGCGTACCCCCAAACACATTAATAATAAATTAACGCTTTGGAACCACAGCCTCAAATGCAATGAAACGCAAGTTGCACCCTCAAAAGTCGCTAGTTAGTTTGTAGGGCTTCTGTACTACCAACAAGTCGCTGTTATTCTAAATACGTACGTATTAAATATCATATTTAATTACCAGCTTCACTTTCAATTACAAGCTCTAAAATGTACTGTTTGAATGTATACTTCAACTTGATTGCCAGCTTTTAATAATATCCAAACAAGTCTAATAAATACTTGTATGTAACTCGAAATTTATATGCATATAACAACTGCAAATGCAATGCCAAACTGCGCGCAAGAGCTGAGCTAAAATTCAACCAAATGAGTATTTTGTGATTACGTCATCTCAAAGGTAAAAGATGTAATTGCGCAGATAACCACAATTAAATCTAATGTATTCCACAGGTCTCGACAGTAACTTCCGGGATGTAATAATATGCCAAGATCGATAATCTAAACCAATAAAATTAGAAATCACTACCTACAATTAATCCAGTTAAAAGAATGTCCGCAGCTCTTGATCGTCGCACCCTGAGTGCTATATGCATTTATGATAAGACCATTAAGGACTATACATTAAATTACAGAATTCACGATGAATGTCCATCATCCTAATTTCATAATAATTATTGAATTACAATGCAATAGCACGAAACGAAGTGATGCCTGACTCATACATTATGCACCGGGTCGTTTTAGGGTCTAAACAGGTACGAAAATTTCAGAAAAAATATTCCTGGCTTTAACAAATCTACATTAATCCACCCGGTAGAATTCTGAGGGCATCACTTCGTACCGTCATTGCATCTGAGGAGTTCTATGCATTCTCTATGAATTTCTCATCCATCCGATGTAATCGTACATGAGAAAGCTATGTATATTACGCGATTGAAGAACTCGTTGTAATTGTTTAGTAATAAAATGTTACTCTTTATGATTCGTCATTAGCTAATTGTTGCATTAAATTTGTATGCAACATACTTGACTTAAATTAGCAGTATGCTTAAATCCAAAGACTTACCTTTAAGATCATTTCAACCGTAAATACACCTGTGAACGCGTAGTCCAAGTAGTTTAAGAATTTGTTCCTGTCGGAATCTTCCACGACTGGGTCTTCTGCTGCCAGTGCTATACTACTGAGACTTATGACCTATGTATGAACAAAGAAATTATCCCACATAAAGCATTTGATGTGAAATATTTAAAATGCACATAAAAAATTTTTGTGCCATACTACACACATAAATACATAGTTCATTTTTATTTGTGCTATTAGGAATTTGAATAACTGACTCACAAGCATGATAAATAAATCAAAATGGCGTAGGTTGACCACCCAATGGGCTGCGCGTCGTATCCTAGCATAAAGAACAAAAAATTCACGATACCAAAAGGTAGCCGTAAATGCTGATTAGTCATGATCTTACGGATTTGTGGGAGAAAGTATAAACATGGAGGAGTATGGAAGCATAGGCTTTGGTCCTGTTGGTTCCTCGTCGTCTCCTGCATCGCCACCAGCATCTTCTTTTAGAACTCCAGCTTGTTTCTGTACCATAAATCAAATAAAATGCATTCGTATGAAAATCTTTTTGTTTTTGGCTTCACCTCCTCCTGCTCATGCTGTTCTTCCTCTGCAGCAGTGAGTTCTTGTGCATTGGCCAAGTTATCAACAGCGATAGCCAAGAAGACGTTTAATAGTGTGTCTGAAATGAGTAATATTATCTGAAATCTGACCATGGTAGTTTTTGTCAAAGGGCTTTTAGCATACGTACAATTTCCAAATAACATGAGAATGATGAAGTAAAGACTATACATCATTCCACTACGATATCCACCTTGAGATTGGATTCCTTGATACATGACTTCATTCCAGTCCTCGCCCGTCAAAATCTTTAAAGAGAAAAAATACAATTCCTTAGTTTGGTAATTAATGATTTTTGATAAGTTCAAACTTATTTACTCGAGATGGTTAGATCATGAGTACAAGTTTGTAACAGCTTCATACCTGGAAGACGGTGAGAAGAGCAATCGGAAACGAGTCGAAATTTGTGGGAGGAGTCCCCTCCGGGTTGTTAAAAGCGCCTATTTTTTGGTTTTAAAATTTAATTTAATTTGTGCACTCCTATTTTATATTAGCTTAAATAATGTAATTTCAACCACCTCCGAACAGTTGCTGCAAACAACAGAAAAATTGTCAGACTTAATAGATGGTAGTCATTTTATATTCAATTTGCGTAATTTATAGCTCATTTATCGTATTACTTTTTGGATAATTTATTCGAGACAAAAATTGTAAGTATTAATAGTCATTTTATAGTAAATTTTTGTAATTTATCGTTGATTATTGTAGTTCGTCATATTATTTTATAGTTGATAGTAGGTTGTTGACAGACAAGGGAACCTTAAGTACTGTCACACCTCGATTTCCTTTCCGATGGTCTTAATTGATAGATAATGTAGTGTAACTAAGACTTTGTCATAGAACATGGGGTGCAAAATTATGTTTTTGCAAAATATTTGGCAAAAGCTGCACCAAAACTTGTAATTGTTCCAATGCTTTCACCATATATAACAGCTTTCGGAATTATGAAATGAAGTTTGTAAATCATATGCCTGTCCGTAATTTCATGCTGATCACCAATATGCAAAAGGATACATGCAAACTTTGGCCAATTTTTTCAAATTGGGAAAATCTGCAAAAATTTCTAAATTTAAATTTCGTCGTTTTTTAAATTTTAACACAATTTAAATGTTAAGCGTCTTTTATTTAAGAATTGCAAAAAAGTTTTCAAAAAAGAAATTGTTTTGTTATTGCAACAAAATTTGCGAAAATTTTCAAACATTGAAACTCACAATGGAAGAAGATATAATGCCAATGTGTTTGCCAATTTTACCAAGCCAATTTTACAACAATTAACTAACATTGGCATTATATCTTCTTCCATTGTGAGTTTCAATGTTTGAAAATTTTCGCAAATTTTGTTGCAATAACAAAACAATTTCTTTTTTGAAAACTTTTTTGCAATTCTTAAATAAAAGACGCTTAACATTTAAATTGTGTTAAAATTTAAAAAACGACGAAATTTAAATTTAGAAATTTTTGCAGATTTTCCCAATTTGAAAAAATTGGCCAAAGTTTGCATGTATCCTTTTGCATATTGGTGATCAGCATGAAATTACGGACAGGCATATGATTTACAAACTTCATTTCATAATTCCGAAAGCTGTTATATATGGTGAAAGCATTGGAACAATTACAAGTTTTGGTGCAGCTTTTGCCAAATATTTTGCAAAAACATAATTTTGCACCCCATGTTCTATGACAAAGTCTTAGTTACACTACATTATCTATCAATTAAGACCATCGGAAAGGAAATCGAGGTGTGACAGTACTTAAGGTTCCCTTGTGAACTTTAATAATTGTTCGATTGAAAACGGAATTGCAACTCGACAATGACTGTGCTTTCTTTGTCCGAGATTCTATGTAGCCTGGTCCTGCTTAATTCTTGTGTAATTAACAAATTTGTGTCTCGTTAAGCGAAAAATGTTTTTAAAATTTAATGAAGTTTGAAAATCTCATAACTTGCATTAAATTACGCATCTTGATTGCATTCAGCCATTTAACTTACCATTCCCAAAAGAGCGAAAATCAGGATGAAGAGGAAGAGTAGAAACAATAAAGAAATGATGGACCGCATCGAGCTGAGTAGAGAAATTACGAGATTCCTTAAGGACGACCAGTACTTTGTAACTATGAAAGAAATTAGATATCGTTAGCTATGTACATTCCACAATGATTCAGGACAAACCGTTGGATATATATGGCACATCGATTAAATATATTTTATTAAAACCTTTGAATATTCTAAGAAGTCGTAATGCACGGAGCACAGAGAGACCGAAGGATGAATGTGGATTGAAGTAAGACCAAACAACTTCAAAGACAGATCCAGATATCACGACCGTATCTGAAACAATCAGCATTCATTGTATACAAAATCGATAAATCAAACACATTAACTTTCTCCTGAGGATTCCTTGTATCGTTTTCTACGTATACATAACAATAGAACTTCAATCGGTGACGAATTTACACATGTCTCAAGTTGCCTCATAATTCAATACCATTACTTGGATTTGTCTCAAACTATTGTATCACATAATACTTCACGGTTAATATTTTTAACAACAAAGTCAAATCCTTAAAAGCAGTAAAAAGTAAAGCTCTCCTATCAACGAACCAGTCGGCTACAGATTATAGTTTCAAAAAATAGTATAAAGTATACTCTTATTAAAAGGCAACCTTAAGTACTGTTACATCTCGATTTCCTTTCGGATGGTCTTAATTGGTAATTTAGTGTAACTAAAACTTTGTCACAGTGCTTAAGGTTCCCTTGTGAGCCCTAATAACTAACAAATTACAAATTTCCTGGTGTGTACAGCGTTTCGGGGAAAATAGGTTTGATTATGCTGCTTACCGAAACGGTTGAAAGATGATTCAAAGTAGATTCGAGCTGAAATGATAGCAAAGGTGTGATTGTTGAATCATTCAGTTCTTTTATATCAGCAAGTTTGTAGCACTTACCACCAAGGGCGTAAATTTTAATTAACATTTCAAAGATAAAAAGGCCTAGGAACCCATACCTGAAATTCATTATTTTTTAGTGTTTTAATGGACTTACCTCACTCTTACTCTTACCTCACTTTAACACGTAAATATTAACACGCACATATGCAGTACTTGTCTCACGTCACCTCAATTTGTATCTTCCATGAGACAAATTGAGACACGACAAAAGTGTAGCGAGCAAGCGAGTGAGCAGGTGACAAGTCTCAACCTGATTCCAATTTTTGGAGATTTGTGAGAATGAGAATCAAATGTTGTCAATATTTTTTTGTTCGCTAAATATTTCCAACTAAACACATATCAATTTTAATTAAAAGTTATTTCAACTTGAGAAGATGAAGAGTAGTAGTGAGGGAGATGGGGGAGGGGAGTTGACAGGAATTTTAAACTTGATTAGCGACCCCTTCCCAGCAATCATTAAATTGAGGCAAAAAGATGTAAGTAAATTTAAAAACAGTACATAACTTATGACATCTTTACTAATTTAATTGATATAATGTTTACAGGTGGTGTTAGGACGTTCTCCAAACTGTGACATCGTCCTCAATCAGCCTGAAGTGTCAGGACAACACTGCCAATTGGTGTTGGACGAGAACGAGTGGTTCATTAAAGACCTTGTAAGTCTTAGGGTCATAATGTTTAACTTAATATTTATTTCCAACTGTTGGACACCTTCAATTGTAAACATTTGTTTTTTTACTCTGTTCAGAGCACCAACGGAACATGGGTGGGACAGGAAAAAGTCGTCAAAAACCGAGTACGAATACTTAAAAATGGAGATTCAATAAAATTCGGCCCCAATCTGGTTTATAGTTTTGCTAAACAACAAACAAAACAGCAGAAGGACACCGCTGCAGGTAAACTTAATTTCTGTTACCTATATGTTCCAACTGTTGGATTTCGAAATTAATTTCCTGGTTATGTATTATTTTATTTTTTATTTTGAAGGGACAATCTTTCTTGATGGGAAGTGGTGGGAAGAGAACGAGTTGAGAGGGCGCTGTTTCATCATGGGTCGGTGGTGGGAGAGCCTTCAAGAATGGCTGGATGAGACGTCCCAAAAGCTGGGTAAGCAGATTGTTTTCCATCATATATATTTGCTTCTGACTTCTTTATTTTTGTCGACTTTAGAATACGCTGGCCCATCATCTCAACCTGTCGTTGAAGTTGAAGGTGAGGATGAAGTTTTGGAGGGAAAAGAAGTCATTTTTCTAGGTGAGTTGTAATACATGGTATTGTGTTGTCCAAATATTGGAGTTGTGTTAATAACCATAATTATACATTATTAAGATAAAGGCGAAGAACCGGCGGCTAAAATACAACGTGTGGACGGCGATGTTGACGTGGGAGGAGCAGGTGACAACGGTGATGAAGGCTTTATTTTTAAATTGATTAGTAATTACACTTCGGTTGATAATATTTTATACAATTAGATGATCTAATTTAGATTTCTTCATAAAGAGAGGACTCTTCTGGTGGCAAGCAAAACCTCATCCTCGTATTCCACGCACGTGGAAACCACCAAGTCAAGGGCTTGGACTGCTGTTTTATTGTATCCGGGATGAAATACGGTCCAAAGGTTGGAAAGGGGAAGAAGAGCATATGAAGTCCAGCGCTGAATACCAAGATTGGCTACGTACTGTAAAAGGAAAATCTTACTATCGACACAATCTGCGAAACGCCGACCTCAAGTTCAATGGAAAGCCAGTTTATATATTTCGTGAAGGCGACAAATTATTCTATGCCAATGGTACATTAAAGCAGCAGGGTAAAAGTCCAACAGTTGGAAGTAAAGAAACAAACTTCACCCGAGATGACTACGAGGTGAATCCCTCAAAGTGGAAAGTTGTTTGTTGTGATTTGACCTGCTGGAAGCAGGGAAAGTCCAAAGCACATTGCGAAGAACATGTCGAACACAGCGACCGAGGTCAGGAATTGTTTGTGGTCCGCGATATGTTAAACGAAGACATGACGGTGATTCTGGTGTTTAATCCACAAGTACAATCCTGTGACTTCGACCACCACCATTTGAATCAACGTATTCATTCCTCGGATGGAGAATCAAATAAATCTCTGCAGGCATATTTCAAACACCGTGGCGTCCCACCTATAGTTACTCTACCCAAACGAAATCAAGATTACAAGTCACACAATTACTCTAAACAAAAGATCCAACGGTTGAAGGAAACGTACTGGAAGGAGCGATTTGCTAGGGTTGAATTTGAAGTTCTGGAAAAATGGTAGTTGCCATATTCTAAGAAAAAAGTTTATAATGCAATCTACGACACCATTCAGGTATGTATAGTGCATTTACCATTTTACACTTTGTATCAGCTGACCTCAATTTGTATTTATTTCTTGCTAGACGGCACTGTCTATTCTTGTCTCCAGCCACAACCACAACCAAACCGTGTTCAGAAAAATTCAACTCCTCAGGAAGGAAATAGAATTTAAGCATGTATCCTTCCAACTGTTGGAACAGATTCTGTCGTCTAATAATTTCAACATCATCACCACGAACGACACCATTTACAAAAACTACGACAGAAAGAACTCCCCCTTTCTCCCAACACACGGTCTCAATACGTTCCTCTCTTCAACATACATAATACTTGAGTACGATGCAATATATGATGGACTCAGGACATCTATAACTATAACCTCTAATGCCGGACAAACCTCGTCGACGAAAAACTCCAGTATGTCTGCACGTGGGAAGATATCGACTGAAAGAGATCCCTCGAAGTCCCGCAACGCCTACGCTTTGTATCAAACAAAACTGGATTCCAACAATTGGAAATTAATGAGTTCCATCAATCGCAAAGCACCAGACATGACCGATCAGCAGAAGAGAGTGACTGCTTCAGTAAAGTTGGATTGCTCCAAAGCTGAGAGCATTGGACACCTCACCAACATATTTGGAAAAATAACAAATATGACGATTGATGGAGTGGATCTCAAGCTGGCCAACCAGAAATTTACTCATTTTGATGAGTACGAGGAACATTTGCCCCAATACTTGGAACACCTTTTTGATTACAAGTTTGAGAAGAGAATCATGATTACCTCGGCCCCGATAAATGTAGATTCTCATAGAAAACATATGTTTGATCTCCATGCAGTTTCCAATTTCATTAAATAGAGTGGTGGTTTGTTCTACTTGTCGAAACATTGATTAAAATTTATGAATTGTAAACGGACTAAGACTAAAAGTTATGAAAATGTAATTATCATAATTTGGATTTCCATACTGCATATATGCGTGTTTAGATTTACGTGTGAAAAGTGAGTTAAGTCTATCAAATCTATCAATTGAGAAATATCGAACTAACTCTGCATAGTCTGAAAAAAAAGCCAAAATTATCAATTAAAGTCATATTATTTAGTATGTATGTATGTGACTCTAGATTTCGAAATAATATGGAGTAATAACAACTCACAGTTAAAGTCTGTAAGCCATGGAGGCTGGTTGTAATGTTCTACGGCTGAAATACAAATGGGGATCGAATATGTAGTTCGCATATCATTTTTGCCAATATATAAAAAACCTACAGTGCAGACTCCATATAGCCCGAGTCAGGGACATAGTCCCAGACTCAGTGAGTCAGAGTTCTAAATTTTTCTCCGAATTGACCGACATATTACCAAACTCCGTGTTCTGGATAGTTAAATGTCTTAGATTTTCGATTATTTGGCATCAAATCCTTCAACATGGGTCACCCTCCAGGGTCACTCTGGTTGCAATTTGCTCACTTTTAACTTCATACCCTTTCATGATAAGACATTACCTGTCACGGTGCCGAATTTCCTGTTTTTACATCAATTTCTAAAAATCGGTATGGGTCACCCCATAGAGTCGCTCCAGATAACAATTTTACAAATGCCTTTTCATATTCTTCCATTAGGACCCATACGTAACCTATCCACCAAATTTCAGCTCGATATGACGATTTTAAAAAATCAGTATGGGTCACCCCATAGGGTCTCTCAAGATGAAAGTTTTTCCAAGCTGAAGTTATTTTTTTCTATTAGGAGCCACTAGCAACCTCTGTACCAAATTTCAGCTTTCTATGACAATTTTCAAATTTTGGTGCATAATACCCCACCCACTCCGATGACCCTCACCGGTCAACCACTTGACCGATTTCGCCCATCTTCGAACTCGTTTCCTAACTTTGTCTAATATGCATATGGTAAAAATTTCAAGTCAATCGGTTCAGCCGTTTTGGCTCTATCGTGCCGGACAGACAGACAGACAGACAGACGGACGGACGGACATGACGGTTCCATAAGCTCTGACTCGGGCTAAAAAACTCTGTGAAACGTAATCATCTTACCTACACAGGCAGTGTTTAAGAAGACAAGGATAATTACAGTCTGAAAAGCCAAATTATATTTTTTCAAATTAAACCTTGTTATATAGGTCGTATAAAAGATTAAATTTTAAAGTTAAGATGCGGAATGAATGTGCATGAACACATTTGGAAGGATTTACATATGGGGCTCACCCAGTAGAACCATTGTTGCTTAACCGTGTGTCTGATCCAAAACCGAAAGCGTTTTTCTGCCCTCCAAAATCGTCGACAAGCTCCCTGATTCCGAACTTTGGATTTGAGGTAGGCTGCTCTCGGAAATGCTAAAACACCAGTTACACGATAAAGTCCTTACAAATGTGAAAATTTTCTATAATTCAGTGCAAATAATACGAATAATGCTAAGGCTCAATTCTAAACTAAGTAACTATTTAACTTCCCCCAGTTTAGTCTAGACGTTAGATTATTGCTACTCAGCGTTTTTTATATATTATCAGAGAATCTTGTAAACAAGCTCATTTAACAGGACCTCTACTTCAACTTAGTGACAACACAAAATTAGATAAGTCTGAGATTATTTACCATACTACAAATTAAACTACTTACTTTTGGCATTTTTGAAGAGAAAATACCTGAGATGGTATTCGACACTACAAAAATCCCGATATACATTACATATCGATTAAATCTGGGTAAATCTCGAAATACTTTTTTTTGTACCATCCCAGGTATGTTCAATTAACAGTGCTGCACTACCCGACCGACTAAATATTTTTGATCAACCCTAATGTGAGTGAGTGAAAGTGAGTGACGAGGAGTAAATTGTTAATACAAAAGAGTGGACTCGAGTCTATCTATTGGCTACCGACACAACTGCTTCAAAACTACTTCACAACACGATGTACAGACAAAGAAGAATTAAGATCGTTTCTAGGAATGTCGGTCCAGGAGAGACGACTGGCTCAAAGCCTCCCAAAGAACGAATAAGGAAGGAAAAGAAGAACTCCCCGGAGGAACGGCAATCACCTTTGGATTTCTTCTTGAGCGGAACTACAGTGCAAGGAATTGGGAAACATTAATCACATTTTGCTTTTCACGGTAACACAGAGTCACTACACTCGCCCAATAGATAAGTAAGAGTGTCTAGTAGCTTGGTGTTTAGCTGGCTGGGTGAAAGTAAGAATTAATCCCTGCATTGGTTGGTACAAATGTATGTACACACTCGTGATCATCAAAATCATCAACACATTCATCTTCCATTAACCAACTCATGAATGAATTATATTTATAATCTGACTGACTGGGTGGTTGGTGCGACTTTGGTGTGTATTTTCTCCCTACCGCACATCAACATAATTTACTCACCATCGTCAACATCTTCGGTCTCATCTTCTTCTTCCGTATCCGTACTTCTGCTCTTTCCAAGCGCTTTCAATTTCTTACGCTTCGCAGCAGCGCGCCTGGAAGGACATGTTTTTAAATATCTAATGTCTCTTTTTCAGTTGATCACATTCCAAAATAAGAATTTTCTACATACCTGCGCGCTTCCATAATTCGCATTTTTTCTTCCTCGGAAGTTCGTTCTTCTGCGAGAATCACCTCTTCCGCTGCATAAAACAATTAATTTGCTTTGATTACTTTGTGTTAATAATAACCCAAAATAATACAGATATATGCACCGCATTTATTTGAGCTAAACTTTTTTCTTGTGTAGGAGGGGAGAGTTCAACGCCAACGTATTATATGCGCTTTTTTATGTAGCAATTTCATCTATATTGCTTGGTTGGATATAGAGTCGGTGATAGAATTATTTATATAATGTTTGAATGATGAACAACGCCATCCGACTTTCACTTTCCCCACGGTTTCATGCACGGCCTATCAGGACTGTCATCCAAACTCATTGATCTCATCAAGCATTTACTAACTATAATATTTTTAATTTTACTGAAATATTCCTCCACTTGAGAAAGTAGGTGGTATTTCGTTAATGAATGTGCAGTCCTTTTCAAACCAATGTGTTGCATATTACCCATTTTAACGTAATTAAACCATTACCTTTGCATATCCACTCGACATACCCGTTCAGCTCTCGTTCTAGTTGTTGTTGGCGTCGAAGTTTGAGGAACGCTTGGCGATTTTCCACTCGTTCTCTTTCCTTCGCAAATTCACTTGAGACGAGGAAGAACAAAATACAATTATTCGAGATCTTTCACTTCTAACCAACACAATTTGACACAATTCTTACCCGGACAGAACACCGAGAACGAGGTTGAGCATGAAGAAAGATCTATGAAATAGATACGATATGATTAATGTTTTTTGAGAATTTCATTACAATGTTTGACACCTTTTTACAAAAAAGCAAATCTTTGGCAGGACTAAAAAACATTTGTTTCAAATCTCACCCCAGAACAATTAGAGGCACAAAGTAAATCCAGTTGAATGTACTCCCAAGAGCATCGTTGGTCTAGTTAAAGAGAAAACATCATTTGAAATGAATATTACAGAGTTGGGGAGACATCAGGCGAAGTGAAAGCAGCACAAAAAATTGATTATGTAGCTACGAGAATTCCCTACCCAATAGAGGATAGAAGTCCATCCCTCCATAGTGATGCACTGGAAGGAATTACATGAAGTTGCCATTTAATATGAACTAATTATTAGATAAGTTTAAGTTATGTGACAAATGAACCTGAAAAACGGTGAGCATAGCGAATCCTATGTTGTCGAAAGAAGTTATTCCGAAATTAGGACCTATCCATTTATCCCTGTTTATGGATCACGTATTAGACATGTTCAAAATCAAAAGCCAATAAATCATCTAATTAAAGAAGGTGTACTCACTGGCACATTGATACGTTAGCGTTGCATGTATATGATCCTGTGAAATGATTCATAAAATGTCGTCAGGTCAGATACAGATAAATACATCCAATCTCGGGATCGGTGTAGGTATTGCTTAGGTGAAAATATTGGTAAACATTACCTGGCGGAGCTGGCTCGGCAGACTCTACTATTTTTGGCGAGTCCGAGTTACAAGGAGTTGGTAAATCGCCCTCTTTCACTATTTCATCTGAGTGACACAACCAGTAAACAGAGTAATTAATGTTGTGGTGCTGTCATGCATGTCCTCTAAATTAGCACAACCTGTTGATGTAATGTCTTACCTAAGTCTTCAAGGCTGTAACAGGTGCGATGTAACGCTCCACAGTAAAATTCTAAACCTATGATCGCGAATATGACAATTGCGAAAAGAACCTGTCGAACAAAAAGGACTGATCAATATCAACAAATGTTATCCAACTAGCCTCATTTCTAGTTATTAACCATTTGATCTTATAAATCACATAAAATTCCAACTCACCAATAGTCCAATTTGCAACAATGGAGCCATCGCTTTGATTATGGACTTTAGGACGACCTGCAAACCTGTGCACAAAATAAAGTACAATATAAGCGAGTGGTCAAGCAACATTGCCTAAAGCTCATAATATGTTCCAATATTACAGCACATCCAGTGCCATGTAATTTGGTTATGATTTCTGTACGGGGTCCATATAATATTTTAGGTGAATATGAAAAATAGGGCGCGGATAGGTCTTAGGGATTTCTGGAAGGTTTAGTTTAACAATGACAATAATTTATATAGGAATGGGGCAAAGTAAGAAATTGGAGAAATTCTACAATTCCATGCTACATGGACTAGCAATTTAATTCTAATTCTAATCTGAACATCTACTGATGAATATAAGACAAGGCCTGTACTCGGAATTCCAGAAACGAGTTTGAGAGGGCGGAGCACTCTGATGGCTGAAATACATGATAATTTCAATAAGTATATATGGACTGTTTACAAATCGCTCGCGCATAAAATAAGTGTATCTTTTAGACGGACCTCGTAAGGTGCGAAGATCAACTCCAACATCTCCTTGAGCGAAAACGGTCACGAACCTGTTTTAGGAAAATTTGATAGGAAACATCTAATTTGTTGAGATACATCTACAAATGACTAAGATTTATAATACTATCTAAAGTTTAGCCGTTACACCGACTCATAATTTCTGCTATAAACGTCTTGATGGCTCATTGTTCATGAGAGAAATCTAGGTGACGTCAAGTTCGTGCGATCACGAAATTACATTACAAAGCTCTCTTTCTGTCACAAAATGTTAGTTCAATGAGACGCACAGCCCTGCATTTGACATCCAGTTGAGTGTCCAGGAGGAGTGGGTGAAAGGAGTGAAAGTTCAAATCTTGCGTTGGAGGAAATGATGTCGACTTGTGCATATATTTATAATGGTGTCTTGTAACACATATATCGGAATATTTTGTCTTGAGTCATCACACGAAATAATATGTATTGCATCTCATTCGAATTCTCTTCTATTTCAATTTTCGTCCATGATTCCATCAGTGTTTGAAATGAAAGTGTGCATATTATTCATCTCAAATAATATTTTCTCCTCTCTTTAATAAATTTAAGAGGACCTCGTCAAGTCCTTTTTGCGTGGGTATCCATCCATTTCATTTCAATATTCCAAGCAACATTGGTATTTCTCATCCTCAGATCATTGATGTAGGCGGTAACTTGATTAATGCGAAAGGTTCGGCAGGTCACATGAAGACCTAGTTTGGAACTCTTTGCTTCCTCAAATTTCATTGAAATGGTCCCATCTTGCTGTCGAGAGTAGTTGAGAATCATACATTATGGACTACGCGTGTGTATGCTAAATATGTATGTCTGCGTACCTTACATCTATTAATTCACTACAATTGTCTATTATTGTCTATTTCTTATTAAGTAGATGTATGTACTATACTAAATGAGGAAGAAGGGACTGGTAATTTGATTTAAAAGAGGATCGAAGCTTTCTGGCAGGATCAAATATTCAGTATTTTCAGATCAATGAAAATACAATAAATCTCGCCTGTCGAGATAGACAAGTATGTACTAAACTAAACAAGATTATCGTTTTAAAGTGACATGATGGCTGAATATATTAATATTTAATATACTCACTTGGCACTCTGGAAATACGTAACAAAGTTAACCTTTAAAATTTCCCACGAGCTTAAGTGGCCGGAGAACGCGAAACGACCGAAGCATCCTGAAGTCAATAACTTCCACTTTGGATTTGGTGTTTTCGGCTAAAACCGTCATTAGCCTAGCTTCCCAGTACGTCAAAAAAGCATACGAAAAACATTCATAGCATTTAGGATGAGATACACAACTCCAGTACATGATTAATCGTAAACTATACTTACTGTTACGTTGAATATACAACTACTTTTAACATCTATAAATTTATCTATTCACAAATAAAGTGTTAGATCTACAATAATTGTTAATTTCAATACAAGACAAGAAATAAGCAATCACAATAAATCTTACAAAATTACATTCTCTATAAAACAAGAACAACATTTGGAACTATGTATGTACACGTGGGAAAGTTACTCCTTCCCCCGCACTGAACTATTTGTTGCTAGTACTATGTACGCTATGAAAGCAATGCTAGTAACTTGTTAAACTTTTACATAAAGTCAACACAATTCATCCGGCATTTCGGGTATGATTCACTGGAAACCCCAAACTATGTGCTCACGTATGTATTTCCTCTACCCTCGTTGCTTGGTTTCTCTAGTCTGACTATTTATATTAACACGGATCGGGCTACAACTATGAATACGAAGTTTCTTCACAACCACTCTCTAAATTATCAACCGTTTGTACATATAGTTTCGAATATTGATGGAAAAGTGAGAAATAACAAAAGACTTAATTACCCGGTAACGACGACCTGAAAAAACCAAAGGCAGGTTCTTAATCATCATGCAAAATACTAAAAAAATAGTCATAAAACAGGAAACAATTTTAAAAACACTCACTATGAAATCCATAAGATTCCAAATATTTCTGAGGTATGCACCTCTATGCAGGACCTGTTGACGATATTATTAACTTTAAACTAGAGATATGTGCATACTCTCTTGATTGTGCATTTTCCATTATTTTTAGCATATCACCAAATCAATGGTGTCGGTTAACTATGAATATAAATAAAATTATGCACTACTTACAAATCCCAATGCGAGTATCTTGAGCGTGGCTTCGACACAGAAAATTCCCAAAAAATAATGTTCCGTTTGTTCCTAATAGAAATGCATAAATCAATAAATAATACTTTATACATACATCATAACCTACATTTAGCTATCTCTCATCATGACTTATCACTATTTTTCTACCAAAGTGGGTACAAAGAAAATATTCTCATTTCTTTATTCGTGAATTGGTCTGTATCTGATAAGGCAACTAGAACGGCAACATAAAGATGACAAGACTACAAACACAAAAATGTGGGACAGCAGCATTCAAAGTGTCACTATCATGCACATGAAATTTAACAACACATTATTCTGTTCCCACGATTCTTGCTATCTCCACCAGACCAGATACAGTCGCACAAATGTCTCTCATTTTTGTACATAGTTCTTCCTTTGGTGGTTCACAATTTAGTTGCCACCCTACTTTTGTCAAATAACAGCAAAGAAAATTCCCAAACATTTAGCAATTTTGTCAATATGAAAATATCTTTGGGGAAATGTGATACATTGCGGACTGGATTGATTTCATGTATCGTGTTAACGGCCCTTAGGTCACCAGAGGGGTCGCGAATTGTCAGAACTCGTAAGTTCTGATGCCTTTCAAACTCGCCACAGTAATGCTGATCCATTATCATTACGGAATTTCTGCAACCTTAATTCAGATTTTCAGCATTTCAATTGTGTTCAATGCATCAGTGAATCGCTAACAGACTTAAAAATACGTAACTTAAAAAATATCTGCAAAGGGGACGACCCAGGATACGTCCGTGGTTTCTCCTTAGCAGAAACCACGGACAACAAAAATGTTTATGCACCCTGACCATTTATTCCAATTATCTATGTCGCTTGCCAATGAAAACTGATAAAAATTGGAACCTAGTGTTTCACAGACGATTGAATAGACAAAAATTATTATTATCGCTATACTAATTTCATAATTGCATTCTATTATTGCCTATCTAGGTTTTTTATTCCTCTGATTTCTTTAACGCGTACACCCAGTTTGCAATAAGCGTATTAATTGATACTTGTATGCACATATATGATTGAATAAAATTTAAGAATTATGTATTTTTTAGCATTACAAGTTGATAAGAAGACAATCAATTTTACTAATACACTTACCAGCTTTTGAGCTAAAATAGTCTTATCCCCATCCGGTAAATGCTCCTATTAAATGAAATAATGAAATACGAATTTAATACTTTTTTGTTTGTTGGTTGACAATTATTTTCATACATACTTTAAATCATACTCCTCATACTAATTCATTTTTATCATACTATAATACTATTTCACCAGCTTACCTCTAACGCCAGGACGATACAATTTGCAATAATTGTTAAAAGAACTGCATACTCGAAAGGAGGCCACTCAATTATGAACCGTGTGCACCGACGAACTTTGGTGTCGTCGGTGAAAAAGAATAGTGACGAAGGTCCCGGGGGCGTGTCGCCCCCGGTGTTGGCCCCAGCCCCTCGGTTTCTGGAAACAGGACAAATAATTAGTGCCGATTAACTCATTTTGCGAAGCACTGATAACAAGATTAGTGAGAATGTGGAAAAACTTAAAACAGAACATTCACATGATAAACAAAAGGAGTTTTGGCTGAATGGAGTTTAGAAACTACATCAGCTTAAACTTCTCGCATCTTACATAGAAATATGATCTCTCTCTTTAAACGGTTCTCTACTCCAGGAAATCTGATTTCTTTGTTGGTTCCACAATTTCACAATTGCACGTTGCAGTTATGAAGGCTGATTTCTCTACCAGTACTCCAATGTTGTTAACATTGGAGGCAAACTGAGACCAAGTTCTTTGGTGCTCATTTCCATATTATTAAGGCAAAAAAGTATTAAAATCTCACTGAATATCATTCCATAGATGAGTAAACTTCTCTAATTTAAAGCTTCATAAAAAAATTCACAAAAAGCGACAAAGCTATTTCTCAATTTACCTTGACGCCATGAGTCCAAGTCCAAAGGGTCGAACAGCGTTCCACTCTCCACTGCCGCCGAAGCGTCCGATCTTTTGTGCAGAACGACTCTCTGCTGCTGCAACCTCTGCAGCCGCCAACCTAAAAATGCAAACCAAAATCATCAGTTATTTAAAGCATATGATAATAAATTCATAAAATAGGAAATTATTTTACAAATAAGTACGTAGCTTTCTCCACGTTACTTTATAGTACATATGTACACATAATCAGGTATTGGGTATCTAAGCAGTTGATGCAATTCATGTGCATTCTATAGGGAAGTGAGTTTTTAGAGTTGACTGCAACTTGGCTATCACCAAGTCGCTTGAAAATGCAAAGTAATTTCTGAAATTGACGTATCTCAATATATTTACCCCAAGTGTAATAATCACTCGCAGCAAGTAGTAAAAATAAGAAGAAGAGGAGCGTTGGTTGATTGGTTGGATGGAGGGATGGGTCGAAATATGTACGTGTGTTTCCGCTGATGAAACACAAAGCAATAAGCAACCTGGCCTTTCCAGGCTTTCACTCACTCTCACTCGCTACTCTGTCTCACTCTCTCCCTTTCTTTGCACTCTCGTGCATCCAGCTAATCTATCTCTTGTCAACTTCCACCCAACTTGTAGCCCACCCTCACATGATCTCCTTCCCTGACTCACTTTCACTAATAACGTCTGGGCGAAGTTTATGCCTTGGCAAAGTGAATTCGTTTAGGAGCTGAGTGCTGAGCAAAAAGTCTTGGTCTTAAGAGGAAAATCAAGCTGATGGTGGTCAGTGTTGGCTTGAATCAGATGGCGTCGGAGGATGGCAAGACTTTCTTTCAGATGTTGTTCAATTCATTCCTGTGTCGAATTAAATTACAAACTGAGATTTACTTTCTGGGCCGGCTTTACTCAAAATGACACGTTCATCTCTCTAATCGCGTTGTTCATCGTTTGGAAGGGGTCATAAAATTGATAAACCACTTATTTAACATTTTGGACATTTTAACTTTCTTACACGTGCTTTGTAAGTTCCCAAATTCTATATAAATAACAAGGATTCCTTATAGACGACAAATGCCTCGTTTGCATACTCTCGTCACTTGTAAGTAAGAAAGTTCAAAAGAATTTACTTTCTCCAAAGATAAAAAACCTACTGAATTGTTGACGAGCTACACCTTGTCGATTAGCCGGGGGTAGGACATTTCATATACAATTAGTAACTTACATAAAACTAGGAATTATACACCCATGAGCAAGTTGATTTACAAAAATTGACCCAAATCATGAAATTTAGCAAGGAGTGGTCACTTGCCATTTTTTAGTCAATTCTAAATTTAAAAAACATGTTAAATAAAAATTGTACTGTAAAATACACGTAAATTTCACACCTTCTTGCTGACTCGTCACAAATTTAGATTCGGTTATCCTTAGTATTTCAGGATGCTGAATATTAAACAACATGATTAAATGTCAATCAGGGAATTTCTGTCACAACGAGGGTCTAATTTTTTTTTACTAGTACTTAGTGGGCCAATCTCGATTTTTCAGCAAAATGGACTAGTTATATTGTTCTGTCTCGAAACCGTACTCCGTTTCCAGCAAAATTATTGGATACAGTCACGTGAGTTGAGCTTTGGTTAAATAAATACTAAGCTGATTTCTTATGAAGCTTAATCTCTAAAAGTCTGAATTCGCAAAATAGGAATATCAATATCGCTGGAAGATAGCCCATATTTGAATTAATGTGATTCGTAACCGAGTGGAGAAAGTCGTTTTGAATGATACATACGCCTGCGAATTTGTGCAAACCCATCAAAGTTGCACGAAGGTCGGAAATCAATGTTGTTACATGAGATGGGTCCATCTCTTCGGACTCTAATCTTGGTTTACCTCCACATAACTTGTTGGGATGTAAAGGATGCAAATTGAAGAGGTGCATATTACATATAGGTTTAAATATCTACAAGTTATATGACCATGATCAATAAGGATTACCATCCAAAAGACAATGGGCAAGTAAGTAACGTCGACTCATTCAATTCAATTAAATGAAGCGATTAGGGAGGTTCCCATTATCTAAGAAAGTAAAGAAAGTGGATGAGTAAGCCAGTAATTTGATGTTTGAGACAGGTGAAAACTTGTTCTGTGCATAACACACTGGGAAATTTTGAAAATTCTCGTGACTTACACTGGAGCCGTTCAAAAGCTGTAAAGTTAAAAGTTGGATGAAGTTGCACAACCACAAGAAAATGTCTGGTTTGGTTAAGAAGACATATCATCCACCCGTTTGGAGAAAGTCATATGGAAAGAATCAATACCTCTGCCGCCACCACCATCACGGACATTGACATGAACTCAGTGTGGTTGATTCGTGAAATTGCCAGCAGTTGTTTGCCTGGTGGTGGTTCTAGGCACGTATAATACATGCTGTTCACTCTGACAACCACCAATGTTCAACAAACCAGCAAGACCGACTTTCTCCCATAAAATTGGACAGTCTTTGTGCCGTTGTGGGAGCTGCTTACGCCATAATCATCATCATCTAGCTTCACATGCACATTGCTGGAGAAAGTGTGTGGCAATCCATCATGGTGCATGCATCATGGTCACCATGCAGCAGAATAGCCCCCGCTGACTGGACTTGCCAAACTCACTCAGGGTGACTTTTCGCGTTTGCCTCTGCGCTGCCGATTAACCTGACTGTTCACTTTGTGTACTTCCTCCTACATTTCCAATAGGCTGCTTTAATCAGACTGATAGATAACCCTTTTGTTACATGTTCTTCCGTTCGTGCATGACGTGGCTACCTGTCAATATTATACAAACACTAAAACACACAAAATCCCACAAAAACTTTTTCGCAGGAAACTTGACGAATAAATTGTTTAGTAGAGAAATGAATTGTAATTAAATACAATTTAAAACTTCAGCTTAGACTGAATCATAAAATCGTAGTTTTAAACATCAAACAAACATCTGTTTTAAAGTATGACCTTCAATGCAACAAGAACTGGTTACAATTAACGTTGAATTTGATTCAGCAGCTTGTACGTACACACATGATTTAAATCTCTCGAGAAACGCTTACATATATATGAAGTATTACATATTTGCAGCATAAACCACGTGAATTATTGGATGAGTAGCCCAAAATAGCTTTTCCAGCAGGAAGAAACAAGAGTACCCGCACCACGTTTACACAATGCAAGTCCAACAACACTTTCTCCAAGTAGTTTCAATGCCCAGGAAAAGAAATATGTTCGTATCGTATAAAGAATAGAAAGTGTTGGACATCAACCCTTTCTTTGTTTACACTCTTTCCGCAAACCCTTCGAATCAACGTCATTCTCTGCAAAATATTAAGTGTGAGTATAAATAGCCGCTCGTTTCCTTTTGGTTACATTTCTGGGCACAACAAAACCATAATTGCACGAATCTTGCTCACTTCACTTTCCAATTTACGCAATGCAACTCGAACGCATAGCCAGCTCAACTCTTGCATATTCCGTTGATTGATAATTCACACACTGCATTAAATCAACTTATTCGTGTGGTGATGGTCTGTGAAGCTCAAGTTGTGAGAAGAAAACAAAATTCTAGTCGAAAGTGTTTAGCATTCCCCCACCTGTTAAGTGAGCATGATACAACTGATCGTATGTAAATGAATCGTATGGTTGTAATCCAATTTACAAAATCTTAAAAACTGCAAAATTACTAATGCAAAAAATGTGCCCGTTAGTGAAATAGTAAATCAAAATGGAACTTTACAGGCGCCCTTAGTAATTTAACGATTCAACAAATACTTTTGTTTTGTGAGCCATCAGCCGGCTCGTAGAGTCTGATCAATAACCAGCTTTTTTACTGGAACATGCAACAATTTGGATGTAAATGAGGCAAACAATTGAGGAATAAAGAAATACTTATTTGTACCGCATGGCTGGATGGTTTGAAACAACGTGAAGCTGACAATTCAAATATGCAACTAATATAAACCTTGGTCAAACAAACAAGTACTCAAAATCTCTTCTCAAACAAAAACGAAATTATACGAGATTATTGACACAAAAGAAATTGGATTGGTACAACGAGCATGGTTCCCACAAGTGTGTATTTACCTTTAATGTACACACTTCAACACCACTTATTGAAACACGCCGAGATTGTTTTGGCAAAAAAAGTCCAGCTTCTTAAAACCCCTCGCACATGACTTTTGTTTCTTATGATGGATTTAGTTTCAGATATTTTGCTCTAAATGTGTTGACAATGCATTGTTCTGTTTTGAGCAGACGAGAAAATAAAAAGTGGAAAGAAGAGTTGAATTACCGTTAAAGCGATCCGTTTCTTAGAAGTATGTTTGGGAATGATAAATGACAAAGCTGTGAAAAGCCACCTCCGACGAAAGGCTAGCACCTTGCATGATTGCTTCTTCGGGTCAAAATATACTTAATTGGTCATAGCTGAACGGTAGTAGTATCCTAAAAATGCTATCTTAGAGCAATAACTATAATTAGTGAACAATTGCCTAAATTATGAAAAGAGCGACCGTTCACTTCCCCCCACGAGAGATCATTTCCGCACCCTTCTTTCCTTCCTATGGCTATGTATATACACTCACTAGCACACACGTTCGTGGACTAAGAAGGAGAAAGTGGCAGTGGTGGCACTTTCTTCCCTTCGGTGCCCATCGAATCCACAGGCCAAAGCTGAGCCCCAAATCCTAAACACAAGGAGAAGAAGAAGAAGGAAAGGTAGGGGCCATAAGCAGTCTAGACTTCAGCAGTAGAGGCATTCACTCTGTCGCCTGCTTCCATGCCATACCATATCACCATACCCTCCACTAAACTATCCTCAATGCGGCACACGAATACGGAACAAAGTCGGTCTGCGCAAAATTTGGGTCAATTTTGCGCCGCTCAATATCGCCTTCACGTTGAAAGAAATCGATTCCGAACACACTCGGTCTCCGCACAAAAAGTCAGTAGTATTACGCTCTGCCATCACCACCCCTTCATCTCTAAGCTGCCTTGCTTTCTTCCCTCCCACAATATACACACAACAACTTCCACCACTCCATCATGAACGTCTCACTGCCTTCAATTACCGCCCCACCACCACCGCCACCGACCAACTTTCTTTACTTTCTCCCAGCAGATCTTTGTCCCGTCTGCTCCACGCTCCGCACCACCAACTCCTCGCACCCTCTGATGGAGCCCACTCAACATATTCCGCTTTACACTTTCCCCAAAACCCCAACAGTGGCACAATCTAATCCTCCATGACTTTTCAGCTTGGTTGGAGAAAGTTCGACACGATCCAAACGCGTGTGACGAAATTTTAGTAGAATTTCTCTCCAGGAACTATATACACATATGTAGATTTCACCAATGAACATATATTTCTAGAGCGTGTGACTTGTGTTCATTAAAGATGAACCCATTACATAAATATTTTGACAATATAAAATTCTGACGAATAGATATGCAATTTGTCAGACAAAAATATCACTTCTTGGAGAATACTTTGACTGAAATTTGACTATGAAATGAACTATGAATTCCGTTAAACATGCAACTAATTAATTCCAAATTTTTATCATGCACGAGTATCTGCAAGTACTGCAAGAATGATATACGCAATCAAGGAGCTTGTCTCACAGTTCTTTGAGTTTTAATTTCAAGAGTAATCAAATAGCTCATTATGTTGAACTGTTCAAGGAAACGTCAGTTGCATTGAGTGCCAATCATGGTTCGTTCTTCTAATTACACAACTCATATATCAATCCTCATGCCCCTACTCTTCTATCGTAAGCGAATTACTCTACACACAACCAGGCATGGCAGAATTCGGTACGTGTTTTTACCTATGTGCAAATTTCACGGTATTTTCTTTGTAGCGAACATAGAAAGTAGTGCATAAATAGTATGTGTACTTGGGTATTCACTTGTGAGTCAAGTATATAATATCTTATAACTTATCGAAGCATAATTATTGGAAAGCTTATTGGTACTTACATGATATCTCCCAACTTGAGTCGCGTTTGAACGAGCGCACAGGATTTGTGATCTGAAGTGGTGACAGCTCTCCGCCTTCCCCTTCGAACTGGGTGACTTTGCTGATAAGCGCCATTGCTTGGTTGTGTGCTCATTCGACGGATAACATTTTCCAGCCGTCGTCGCCGTGGTTCATCATCATCCGCATCAATTAGACGCTGTTCATTGCTAATTTCTTGCAGCTCGTCGTCTTCTTCCTCGTCAACCTGGGAGACTTTCAAGTCCTCCTCACCACCACCACTGCTGTCTCCGCTGCTTTTACTCATCTCACCCACGATTGACCAAGCCGCGTATTCCACTCAATCACTCACTTCCACTTGTTGGCCCACATCACCACCAACACCCTTACCCTTCCAACTTTCCTTGTCCTTCTGATGACGCCGATCTAAAATCACAAAAAAGTTACTCGTCATTTACGTACATAAATCGGACCAAACATTTTATCCGCTACTTGAACATGAGTTCGACATTGATTTAGTATGTAGTATGTAGGTACATATATCATCATTTGTAGTAACTTGAATATTTATAACCTGAAAATAGTTGAATCATATCGTTCAATGTTCTAATCATAAGTTGAGCTTTAACTGCATCAAATTCCTGGTGAATTGCATTTCGTGTGAGAACTAACCCAATAGTACGATACATAGAAGTACGATTTTGCGAATTTCTCGTAAAAGCATCAAATTAAGGTTACGCAAGACTTTGGTAAGGTCAAAGCACTAAGCGTCACATGCAATTCTTGAGTAAGATTACTCACAGGCAAATGAGTAATCCAAACATGCACATTTTTAAGTCTCGCCGAATAATGTTTCAGGGGTAATTTGTAATTTAAACCTGTGAAGTAAACATTATCTACCATCTGGACAAGTCTGAACGGTCAACAACGAACGTGAACAAACATCAAGAAGCTTGGAAAAGTACGTTTCATACCGAATATATTTTATTTAGACAACGTTTATCTGCAAAAACTTCTGACTGGTTAAAGAACGAGTGGGATATACTCATCGATATACGTGGTGATTCGCATTTCCATCCAGCAAAAATTTCCAGGGAGTAAAATAATGTAATTTTCCCTGGAGAAGTCGAACTGGGGTTGTGGTTGTGGTCTCAAGTTGGTGTGGGCTGAGGAACTCGCATAGCATAGTAAAACTGGTGGTGGTTTGTATTTTCCAGTTGCAACTTATTAGAGTGAAAGTGTTTGAGAATCAGGATGCAGAGCTTGAACTTTCCCTCTCTGAAAACTGCAACTAACGAAACCAATTGAGGAAGAAACTCACCACTACTTCTAATAACTGCTACAATCAAATACTTTCGCGGACCAAGTTTAGGAGATAAAGATCTAAAAGTTTATGGGATTAAGAGACGGGCGGAAGGGAAAGGAAATAACAGGAAGAAAAGGAAAGATTGATTATCTCAGACGACGTCAGGTCACAGGAGAGAAAACCCTTTCGGTCAACAAGAAGAAATGAACTTGATGGCAATACATAAGTGCAAAGCAAGCAGTCCTGCACTTCAAACTTCTCATTAAATACAATTCTCATCACTCTTTCTTCTTGTTTGTCTCAGGCAGTTCAGGTCAGTTTACTGTCAAACCATATTCAATGGGCTCGTATGTTACGGGCTGAACATTTTTTTCTTACGTGGACTGAAATGAGTATGAAAAGTTGTTTTCCAAATTTTTACTAAAATCGCGACAAATACATCGTTATGCTTTTTAAAGCTCCAAAATTCTCTTAAAAATATGTTGCCTATGTATGTATTTATATGTAGTTTGTAGATTTTTATATTCACTCAGTTTATTTATAATACTATTTATAATTAATGGTTCATCAATGCGTGGAAGTAATATTAAAATATATGATAGCACGTCATGATGTTAACCGAGAAAGGTAATTTTTTGTAAATAAGTAGGAAGCATAGTGCCATTTCGAGTAAGAGATACTATTTGGGTTTGGTTTGCTTGAATAATAACTCATTCACATTAGCACTTCCCATGAACTTCCCAGTGTGAAAGGAAAAAGAGAAACCAATTACTGTAAGTGGATTGGTATTGCATAGTAAAAAAGAACCAAAACCCAGTGTGGTCATGTCTCAACCAACCAACATAGAGACTAACATAAGTATTATTATATGCATTGCTGACCCACGTCAGGGGGCTGCTGCAGGAGCAATATAAAATAAACTTGAGAAATTACCCCGGAAATAAAATCTCCACCCACTCCTTGTACTTCATTATACTTAAAGGTTCTCTTTTCTCGCCATTATGGTAATTATCATCGACAAGTCTAATTTCCTTGCCAGTTTGCAACTCAACCACATTAATTTCAGACACCGAACCCGAAACAATTAAACGTGTTCAACGTTGATCACCATGAGCAATAATTACCTCTGAATAACAGGTCATCGAGTTTCATTTACTTGATGCTGAATCCAGTCGTTAGATCTCAAATATCTACAACCAAACATAAAATGTCAGATGGAACTTCCTAGATTAAAAAACCGTTCGTTCTGTTTCTTCAAGAAATTTCCAAAATTTTAATTTATTTCGTACCCTTCGTGCAACACGAAAAAATTACATTACTACGACGTGTTTGGCAATGTCAAAATCAATAGACAAACAAGCAATAAATGTTGGGGAACATCCAGCACATGCCACGTAGAGTAAAATGTTATATAATTTTGTTAGATAAATGAACATGTACATCGATTCCAAATTCATCAATTATGTAAATTATCTGTATTGTCTTAATTATATAAGGTTCATTTAAATTAAGCAAAATTGCATTTTACCATTCCGTAGTGCCTAATTGCGTTGAATTGAATTTAGTTTTACGATCAAGATTCATGTGTGATGTAATGCATTATTACTGTAAACTGAGGTTACATACCGATCCGACCACAATCCAAGTGTGCCGTCACAAGTTACGAGCACGTACATATTTACAGAAACGTCGGATTAAAAAGTTGTAATCAGACGCCTTAATCTTCATTTGATTGCAACTGACCCTGAATTCAAAGGATGAAAATAGCCTGCACAAATCACTTGCAAAGCAACCAGACTTATGTCACACGTCGTGATGGTGGTACCAAATCAAGCCGCGAGGAACCCTATAAATAAACTCCAGCCACATACATATACATATTTACGCGGTGGTATCCACTCTCATGGAAAAGCGAAGGTGTTTCTAAAAGTTGTGCATATGCACATATATTCACCAAATATTCAATTTTTGGCTCAAACTCTCACATTCATTCGTATTACTTTGTGAATAATATGAATTCATTTCGTTACCAGATCGACTCCGTGAAATGCTTCCAACACGCGAATTGCTCATTTCATTTGAACTTAAGAGAAAGAGAATGGTCAACCAGTCAAAGGAAGAAGGGTGAACTTTTTAGTTTTCTCTTCTTGATGAGAAAAGGGTGGTCGTGTGCAGTTAGATACGTACACATTTTTGGAAGGCTGCCTTCTCAGTCTTTGTGCTTTCTCCACGTGAGGCGGCATGCACATAGCAATGATGATGATGATCAGACAACACATATATCAAGCAGCCGTTTTCTTTCCATTCTCGACACGAAATGAAGCAACTCATCCTTGAAATCGAAAATTACAATGTGGGAGCGAGCGTCCACCATCTACCTGTTCAGCTCCATTTCAGCTCCATTTCAGCACAATTTGCTTTTTTCTGCATATTTTTTATACCTTTATTTCAAATTTCTGAAAATTAGTGGTAATTTCTCGTGAGCATATGTATTTATTTACCTGCATACAAATGCTCCACGAAATCGTCTTAAGGGACCACGAAAAAGAGGAAGTTCGGATGCGTCCTTTATGGAAAATTGATTTTTACGTGACCTCTGCCCTATAATCTATTTAGCTTAAAGTGAAGGGGAAACAGAGAAATTGAGACTCTACTCTGCCCATGTTTGACCACTGCTAATAAGATACATAAAAACGTACTATTTTTTACACCACCTTTATTATTCGATTCAAATATTGATGGTATTCTGCCAAATGCGAATCGTCAAATCACCAATACGTCAATTGCACTGGAACTCTATGTATCGTGTGGACCTGAGCAAGGTAAATACGATTTGTACAAAAACTTGAAGCAAATTTACCAGCATATTTATTTTATCTTGACCACCAGTGCGTGCAGTATATTCATGGGATAGCTGGGTGATTAACAACTACTAACAAATACTGTAAAGAAAGACCACAAATTATGCCAACGAAATTATATGTAGAAACAAGGTATGTATCAAAGTAAGCAGTGCAAAATGTTTAATTTATTCATGTCCTGGCTGACAATAAGTATTTTCGTGCATTAAACTATAGAGCGAAATTACCCAGCGCTACAGCTTTTCTTTAATCCATCAAGATAGTTATTATTTTCTTCAAAGGCCGGAAGTATGGACTTTAGTTTCTAGTAAAAACTCTCTTCTAGAAAGAAAATTTAATTTTTTAACTAAATTCCAAACAAACTTACCTTGGGGCAAGATAAGCATAACCAGCCAGCCTCATTAAACCAATCATAACAACTGATCGCAAGGTGTGGTTGATGAGCAGGCTCAAAATAGAGCTTTCTTGAGTTGAAACCGAAAGCAAGTATAAGCAACCTCTGCTTCAACGGAGAAAATGCCGTATCCCACTCTTAAAAGTAAATATTAGCTAACGAGCTTTTGTACCAACAGAATCATTACGTGACGACAGGGTAAAATGTAGCTCGTAATGGATTGAAGCTTAGCCGTGGGAAGAATTTAATGTACGTATATTGAATTATATTTTTAACATGAACACTAAACGTGTCTATGCTTCTTGGCCATGCGTATACACGTTGAATTTTTTTAATTGCAGAGGAAGCGAAAAAAATTAATTGAATTGGATCGGATTGGATCGGATTGTGAATTGGATCGAATCGAGTAAATAAAACTTTTCCGAAAACTATGATACTCCAGAATTTGGAATAGCTATATATTTGTACGTATGTCCGGAGTATTGAATTTTTTGGCTAAAATCTATTCTCACCGAATCGAAAACAAACTACTCACTTTAGTACCTTTGACATAGATCTTCAATTATGGAAAGTTTCATTTGGATCGTTCAAGTGGTTATGGAGTGGCATGTGCCTAAATTTGCCTTTTAACATTGGGCTAAATGGGAAAAATTTAAAGTTGAAAATCTTGTCTAGTCCTGAGGTATTTCGAGAAACCATAAATGTATTCTTAAACCCTTATATCTCATCTACAAAAACTGCTGCCCCTTTTGCAAATTGACCGAGAAATTTGAATTTATGGAAAGACAAATCGCATAAGCAAAATATCTGGAGTGCTTTAATTATGTCCATGTATGAAATTTTTGAGTGTTCCGAATAAGACAAT